TATCAAATATAATATCTATAATTTTTTTCTATCTATATATTAGTTAACTTTAATAAATACATATATCAAATTAGTAGAATGTAATCCAAAACCTCTAATATAAAATGAAAATTTCTACAAAAAATAATAATCTATTTTTTTAAAAAAATAATAAATTTTGAAAAACTAAGAATATTAGTTTAAAGATAGATAGTCTACAATCTTTAAAATAAAATAATAAAAGTAAAACTATATTTTTATTTTTATAACAAAAGTATAAAAAATTAATAATCTTTTCAAACTAGTAGGAATAAGAACTTGAATAATATAAATAAATAATTGAGATATATATCAAAAAGAGATGACAAAAAATAATAATAATAATAATAATAATAATAATAATAATAATATGTATATTCACAAAGAAAGTAAAATGACTATTGCCAAAGATTTAAAGACTTGACATTCTTTAAATAAGGCTAAGAACAAAAAAGGCCTTGATAAGAGTGACGAAGGTCTCACTCTTGCTTCTACACATACTATTTAATTAAGAAACTATGTAATATATTCTATAGGTCATCCAACATATATCTAACTTGTAAGGCAAGTTTCTAATATGTGCACCATAAAATCAACTTGTAAAACAAGTTGTTAACTAAGTTTTTAACCTACCAATCATCTACAAATACATAAAAAGTCAAATCTTCTTCTATAGAGCTTCTAAGAAGCTTTTCCACAAGACATCATCAAGTTTGTTTGGTTTCACTTATTTCTATTTAACTCTTCTTATTTAAGTTATTACTAATGTTAATATATTTGTGACAAAAAGACATAATGCCACCTAGCTTAGTCTTAGAACACTATTGGCATTGAACTTTGTAAGATCTTAATTTGGCTTCTTTACTATAGTTATTTGCTGGAATAAATTGCATGGTATTTTAGTCTTGATTACTAAAAAAAAAATTGAAGTACATCTTTATTATCAATATTGTATCATGAAATAGCTATTAAATAAAAGAAAGAAGGAAGTAAAATATTAAAGAAATAATTTATTCTAAAATATAATCACAAATTATTTGAAAAATATAGAAAATAGTTACATAAGAAATAAAATTATTTAGTACTAATACTGCCTTTTGTAAAAATAATACTTTTACTTACTTTGTACAACTATAAATAAGACAAAAAAAGGTAGATTAAAAAAATATATTAGCATAAGTATCTTTAGATAAAAGTAAATAATAGAAATCAATAAAAATTATATAGATAAATCTTAGATTGATTCCCACAAAGAACCAATAATGAACTTGGATTGAAATCAAATCCTAAGGCATAAAATTATGTATCTATAGCAGATTGGTTTTTATTTTTAAAAAAAAAAATTGTTAATTGGAATATAAGGTTTTAAAAGAAAATTTGATATAATTTCTATGAATATTGGATTTGACTAATTTGGATTTATTTTGACCTTATGAAAATTTTACAAAGTTGATATTATTTTGAATGATATTATTTCATATTGAATAAAAAAAAATCACTTAAGTGTAATTTATGAATTTTATAGCACATCTATAGATGCGATTTTGTAAATTTGTAACAACTATTGTGTTAAATGTGTGATATAAATTTGAGCTTAGTTTGATGGTTAGATCAAAATTTATTAATATTGAAGTAAATTAGGATTTTAGAAATTGGATTTTGAAGATCAATGAAGGTTTCTTAGATTATAAACAATTTGATGTTGAATTGATTTTTTTTTTTTTTTTTTTTTTTTTGTATATTGATATTTGACTAAGTTCTTTTTTATATTTATGTAAATTTTAAAAACAAGTGAATGGTTTAAGAAAGAGATATTGAATCTAGAAGACATAGATTAAGTTTAAAAAAGAAGGATGGCCAACACCTGATTAGATTATAAATTATGTCCTTCAATTTATGAGCTAGATTATTTTTAATTTTTTAATTTTTTTTATTATTAAATTGAGATATAAATAATTTTAAGTAAAAATTAATAAAATTTTAACCTACTATAGTATTTACTTAGAATTTTATTTTTATTTCTTTTTTATTTCTTTTGGATTTCTATTTGAAAAATTTTAATACTATTTTTAGATTCATTTGAAATATCTTTTAGATTTGTATAAAATTATTTTTATTTAATAAATATTTTATTAATATTTTATTAAAGATTATTAAAGATTTATTTAAGATTGCTAAGGTGTTTTTAAACATCTTATATTTGATTTTTTTTTGAATTCATAAATCCAACTTTAAAGTAAGATCAAATCTTTCTATAGCCAAATGTCTTATGAATTCTTAAGCTAAATTTCATATCACTTGACATTGAAACAAAGGTTCATCAAAGCTTCAGTTTTGAGTAATAAATCTCTTGAGGTCTTTCTACTTAGGAGGTATTTTGGTTAAGTTAGTACAATATTGGAAATTGATATAAGATCCATTTGGCATTGAAAAGACTTGACAAGATGTAAGGATAAAAGTCACTCCTTACTCCAAATTACAAATTAATTTTAATTAAGAGTTGCTTATGATTGGTAGTGTGAAGTAGAAGTAATAAATAAGAATAAAAAAAGAACAACACAAAACAAGTGAAATAAGTACAATCAAGCAATTATACACTATAAAACCTAGTTATAGTCTATTCATTGGATTTTTATCTAGTAAATATATATATATATATATATATATATATATATATAGATATTAAATTCTATTATCTTTTTAATGAAGTACCAAAAACATAAATTCAAATTACTATGAGTGAATTATGAAGATTTAAAGATATAAATTAAATAATTAAAAAATTAAGTAAGTAAATTTTATATCATGGATAATTTTCTTAATAGATTAAAGGTTGAAGTCTCATAAAGGCTCACAAGTAGTGCATAAAGGTGTCTTAGAGAGGCCTTGAGGCTTTAGTCTTATTCTCCTACGCACATCCAAGATGCTACAGTTCTTATGGGACTTGTGCACCTTTGTTTTGACAAGGACTAAACTAAATATTGATCCTCCTATTTTCTACTAGTAGAATTCATATTTTTAAATTTTATTCTATACCATGGTGTTAAAAAATATCCAATAAGCTTAAAGACTTTACATGCTCTTCAAATCTTGCTCCATTTCTTCATAAGTAATAAAAGTAATGGCTTTCAAAGTAATAAAATTTATTTTTACCAAAGTCTTAAAAATTACTCCACAAATTCCTAAAAACCTATAATTAAATCCAAAAAATTCATATAATTTTTTTTAATACTATCATCAATTTAAAGCTATATCTTCTTTTTGAATTAATTTCTTATAATAATTTTTTTAAACTATTCTAAATTATATTTTTCTAAATAAATAATTAAAAAGATATGAAGTTTTTTTATGCTTCTTTAAACTACTAATTAAAATTTATAAATAATATATACAAAAATAAGGCTAATTTAAAAATTGGTCTTAATAACTAAATAAAAATACTTAATAACAAAAAAAAATATTAAATAAATTAAAATAATTACCTCCAAGATTTGTTAAGACTCCATTTTAATGACATTTTCTTTAATAAGATACTTATATCTTATAAACACCTTCATATTTTAATAAATAATTAAATATTTAAAAATATTCTTTAATCTGCATATTTTTTTAATTAAATAATTCAAGAGTATAATTTTAACAATTCTACTAATTAAGATCTGTTAGTGGCATAAAATCCATTATAAATTACTATGACTATGATGCTTTTTCCTAAATTTATCACCAATTCAAAAATCAATTGATATTTATTTGTAACTCATAGCTAAAATAGAGATCACTTCATTAGGCATTGAAAATTTATAAAAAATTTATAATAAATTTGTAATAATCTATTAAAGATGTATTAGTATATTATAAATTATTTGTAAATTTTTTATATTGAAAAAGATAGAATTTTTTAGGAAAGATGTATATATAGAGGTTAATGTGGGTGTTGATATAAAGTGAGGTAAATCTTTGAAGGAGATAGAATCAAGAATATATATAATTCTTCAAACATGTTTGAATGTTTGAATCTTTTGGTTTCTTATAATAATTATTTTTTTATTTATATTTTGGTATATTATTTGTGTTGCTTTGATTTTTTTCTCTTAAAAAATTTACCTTATATACTTGTATTATAATTTATCTATCAACATCTAAGTAATTAAAGTCCATATTTTTGTAAAATATAATGGTCATTCCTACATAATAATAGGTTCTTTTAATCAACAACACATACTACAATAGGTGTTAGGAATAAGATATGGGACCAAAATGATTATCTATTATGTAACTTACACAATAATATGTAATTCACTTATTAATTATAGAATCATAATCCATATTTCTATAATAAAATAAATTATGCATCAAACTACGTGACAAGTTACAATCTAAATTTTTTTTTTATTGAAACCCTTTCATATTATGATCTTTCATCCACTTGGTTCAAAGTGCATGTTTTAAAGCTAGTATTTTAGAACACTTAGCACAAATAAGATGAATAAAAAAATAATATTGGTGTCTACCATAAGTCTAAATGTATAAATAACTTTAACTACATTAGCTCTTTTCTACTAACCTTTAACTCATAGGCTCACTGAGTGAACAAATAAACACTTTATTTTGCACTAGTCTCCTTTAGAGAGTGGAGTTCATCTTTCTTACAAATAACTCTAATAGTTTATCAAAACTTGAACATTTTTTAACGTGCATAAGAGTTGGCCAACAAGGAATGTATTTCAACAAATGTAAGAAAGTGGAATGTGTCACAACAAGGAGATACATTAATAAGAAATGTACCGAAAATAAGATCAGCACAGCTTCATTCAAATTAAAATAAAATGAAATCTACTGGCAGTTACACAGACAGGGCGTCATCGTGCCAGTTAATGAAGCGTGAACTACCGGAAATTATAAAATTTAAATCAACAAACAAGTTAAACCTGCAAGATTACATGAATTTAGATCGAACAACTCGTCATACATATTACTGAAGATCATCTGATTGGTATAAAGGGACCTGCTGCTCTGCAATTGTCTGCCAGTTCCACAAGCGAGCCAACCAGCTTATTCAATGATTGATCAATGTCATTTGCACAGAGCCTCTGGCCATTACTCTTGGCCAAGATCATCGCCTGATGCACCACATTTCTGATTTCTCGCCCATTGATCATTTGACGAGACCAATTAGCGGGAGAGACCTCTGGGATGTCGTTCATGTTGACCCGGTTCAAAACCGACTCCCATATTTTCCACCGGTCAGCTGGCTTTGACTCATAATACAAAATCATAGAGATGCGAGAAAGGAAAGCCTCATCAAATGCAAAAACGCGGTTTGTTGTAAAGAAGAGCACCCCGCGATGGTAGTCAAGGTTGCGCAGGAAGATCTCAATCATGGCAGTTCGTGTCAAGTCAAAGGATGACTGTTTCTCCAGATACATATCTGCCTCGTCTAGGAGAAGGATAGCACTCCATGTAGAAGGCACATCAAGGACGTTCACCAAATATGACTCCAGTTGTTGCGGAGTGATTCCTGGCTCACAAACACTCAAGGACCACAGCGGTGCATGCAATGATTCTGAAATTGATTCAGCAGTAAACGTCTTCCCAGTGCCAGAGGCACCATAACAGAGAATGATGCAGCCTTCGCCTTTGGAATCAACAGGGTAAAAGTGTTGAATGGGATCTTTATGCTCAGAGCTTGTTCCCGAATTTTTTGGTATGTATTCACGTACTATTTTGTGCAAAAGCTCTTTTCTGTGCCGGCATCTCTAGAGCGTCAAATGCAGAGTCGTTGAAGACAATGTCATCAAAACAACACACTCTGAAGGTACCCCACTTTTTCAGCCGAAATGATAAGCCATACACCATGGCCGGAGCATACATCCGAGTTGGATCTGTTGTAATATCTTCAAGCTCCACGTTGTTGTCACGCAATACTTCGCATGGTGATTCTGCAAATCCCATGTCATAGCTGGGGTTCATCTTTTGAAAGCTTGCCAAGTCGACCATAACTCTACCGCTGGCAACCTCCTTTTGTAGACTCGGGCAACCATTTACCATCTTCATCATGTATATGAGTCCTTTGTAATTCATGAAACGATTCCGAACCTGCATAGAGAGAGAACTAAAAGCCTCCCCCCTTTTAAGAAATTCTTTTTCAGTCATTTGTGGATCCTTTTTAAACCGTGAAGGCATCGTCTTTAGACTTTAGAATCCGCGCTCTCCATCAAACAGGCCTATACGTCCACTCGTCTGATAGGAACTCCAAGTGTTGCAGTTGTAATCCAACATCTGGATCTGTATTTGAAGAAAACGTGGCCCCTGTTGGTCGTCACCATATGTTGTTTCAGTGGCAATTCCCAAAATTTCGTCGTCAGTGATGTCACAATGATACACAACCTGTGTACCTGAGGGAAAAAATGCCCAGAGCATGTCCCATGACACGTGATGGTCCCTTTCCATAACCAAATACCTCTCCAAAACACCTTCCAACTCCTTGTCCATGAAGCGCAATAAGTGGTCGAGGTGTATGAGCAGCTGGTTTTCTCCATACTCCTCAGAACTTGGACCTGCGTTCCCTGGAAAGACTCCCTCTTGATGTCCCTTCAGTTTGATTTCCCTCAGTTTCTCACGAATATGGAAGAATTAAGAGGAATACACTTCTAAACTTCCTTCACTCACTTCATACGTGTACTTTGGGATGAAACGGACAATGATATCTATCAACGAAGGTGAGTAAATTTTGATGTAGTTTCGATGAGCCCACAGCTTTTCCTTCAAACCATAGATGACATCAAATGGTATCATCTTGGCTGTAAGATTTCCTTCTATGACATGGCCACATTTCCTCAGCCTCACTGAACCAGATTTGATTGTGAATTCTTGATAGACTTGCCACTGCCAGTCCCGGTTGATGATGGGTGTGAAGTTGGCCGGGTTAGAGTTGCCGTCTGCACTAGTGATTTGTCCGGTGCCTTGCACATTGTTGTTTTCTTAGTCATAGTTTGTGTCGTTCTCCTCTTCCATCGTAGTAATAAGTTTAAACAAGGTTTTGTCTAATTGGCATATAGTTTCAGTCAGAGAAACAAGACGTGCCACGTTCAGCTCTGAAGAAAAACCCACACTCCCTTCCAAGTTACTCGTTCTTGATTGCTCAAGCTCTCCATCAAATGATCTCATCTGTCCCTGTATGTGTCCCCTTGGATATTGCTCAAAGAGAAAGTTCCTTGTTGAACAATAGAGCGACCAGATATCGAGGCGAACATGGGCCAGTTTTGCACTGATCACATTCTCTGTACTGGAACAATGAAATTGGCATGAAATTTTAGTAATTTTTCCAAACCAATACTCATAGAATTTTGTTGAAGTATATTACATACTCTTATGGGATACAATGAAACCTACTTGGAAATGTTATGTTTTTGATTAAATGTATATTACTACTTAAAAAATTATGATCCCGAATTTTAGTATAATAGGTTCTTAGTTTGAAATCTACAAATCCCAAAGCTAAAAAATTTTATAATGTAAGATATTAAAAATAAAAGTGACTTACTTGAGATGCAACAATTGAGGCAAGATGAACACCACAAATAGTACCATCCATGCAAGATAAGACTAAGCAAGATTTGACCATTTCACCACTTGGACTCTGTCATGGAATAATTACCTTGCATAGTAGATCATCTAAGTATGCATGGTATTCTAATTTACACAACTGCAATATGATATAACACCAAATAATAATAAAGTCCATAATTGATTTATTATTTTCAACTTTCTATTACTATCTTTTTTTATTTATTTTGAAATAAATATTATTAAATTATTTTAAATATCTAAGATTAAATAAAATAAAAAGATACTAATTAATTTTCTTAATATCTCATGTTAATTCCTTTTTCACTCTTAATAATAGCTAAAGTTATAACTATGACTTGAATATAAGAACAACCAAACTTTTTAATATTTTTAAAAAATATTATAATTAAAATACCACCAAACTATAAATTATATCTAATAACTATTTAGAGTGACAAAATAATACTAAAATAAATCAAAAGAATTATCTTATTAAAAATTTGAGTTCCTTAACAAATAACTCATATGCATATTATGTATTCTATACTCATGAAATTTTCATGGTTACTTTAGGTACACTTCTTTTTAGAAATGATTAAACATAAGTCAAGATTTCTACTATTGATGAATTAGCAAAATCAAAGGATTACAAATTAAAGAATTAGATCAATTATTATTACCATATTTAAGAAAAATAACAAAGTGCTTATCTATATAATCTTATAAATAAAAATGTAGCATATATATTCTCAAATTGTTATCTTGAATTTTAATTTAGGAGCTATAAACTAAAATCTCTTGCTCATTGACAGATATGATTTTCAAAGCATGTACACCCACTTCTCCAAAATTACTAGATAGCAATTACACAAACCATGTGCATACTTCCAATTCATCTATTGTAAATCATAATAAATTAATGCAATGTTTCAAAAACCATATACATAAGTTTATATGTAATGTGAAATGGATATGTATTTATATTACTAATAAATTATATTTCATTCAAAAACTTAAACCAAAATTTGTAATTCATGCAAATTGCTTATGATTAAAAATATCTTTTAACATAATCCACTAGTTTTCATTTTAAGTTTTGATAAAGAATTAAGGGATTCTATTCTTGAGATTCACCTTTGGTCTTAAGATGGATCTTTGACATTTTCTAAGGTAAGACATTCATCCAAGGTTATTGCCTTGATAGTAAATTTTTAAAAATTTAAAATTTCTATTGGTAATTTCTTTAGCATAAAGAAATCAAACACACTATAATGACTACCAGGGCAAATGTTTTGTAGAAGTCTTCTCCTTCAATTTATTCAAATTTCCTTGTGATTCCCTTATAAGTTTGGCCTTATACTTGTGGATTTTATTGTGTGCATTTCTTTTTGTTTTGAAGATCTATTTTGCTAAGATTGGCTATAATCCTTTAGATAATTCCATCATCTTCCAAGTTTTGTTTTTGTATATTAAATTCACTTCTTCAGCTATTGCTTTTTGCCACTCCATAGCTAGTAGAATCTTCATCTTCTCTAAATTCGGCCAAGAGGATAAGGTGATCTTTGAGTCTTATCAAAGGTCATTTATTCCATACCAGATACTTTTTTTCAAGTGATAGATCTCGTGTTAGTTTACAATCGTTAGTTACTTGGTATTTTCTTCTACAATGTATTGTGTGTTTTAATTTTTAATATCTATAGTTTTGTTCAATGGCCATTGTTCCTCTTCTAAGGTTACCACTGTTTTACCAGCTCTTGCTTATATACAATTGTAGTTCGATGTACCATATGGTAGTGGTCCTAAATGTGATTTTCGGTGCGGTTGGGCTTTCGTTTGCTGGAGATGACCTTCGCTTCATGGATGGATTCACACTTCTCCAGATGAGTGGTGAGAGTGGAGAGAGAGTGCTTCGTTCATTTCCAACAGGCAATAGCCATCATGGAGACGCCACCCAAAAGACCCATTCCATATCCCTGAAAAAAAACCGGACGTGGAATTCTTCGGCACGGGCCTTTCAGCTAGCGCACTTTCTTGAGCCCCCATTGTTAAGTCTTAAGCTCCTCGACACAGGATGAACCACAAAGCCTACCTCTAAGGATGAAACTATCTGTGAACGCAAACTTTCAAAGGATTCCACTGTAACTAGGTATGATTCTTGGCCCTTTCTGGTGTGCCCAGACTTCAGCAAACGAAACGGCTTTCCACCAACTACGTTTTTTGCTGCTGCCACACCAGAAGAATAGTCCCGACCAGACAAGTCTAGGTACTACCCGGCGTCTCTTTTAGATTCCAACGTTTCTTCTCCGACTCAAATCCCAGTTGCAACACAATCCAGAGTCAGAAAGCCCTTGTAAACTTCTCTTTATGGATGAGGGGCTGTTCCGAAGCCATGGGATGTTCTGTTGTTATGATACCCTTCATTTGTGGCGCTTGATTAATCATCATTCAGAAAGATTGATAAGATCCAACCATGGACGTCATGTCCCGTAATGTGCAAGCGGCCCCTGGTTATGGAAACTCCCATGGCTCGACAAGGTTATTTCTCATAATCATGGGCTGCTCTCACATTACCTAACTATCCAAAATACATCAACGTTTGCCTATACCACAATTCCTCTTCTCCAAAATCCTACCGACTGGTATGTTTCAAGACTCGTGAAAGTAAATGCAGTTAAAGCATAACTAAACCTCCACTCGTCACACACGTACCGATAGAAACTCGCTTTCCAGGCGCCAGAAACCTCCATTCAGTCCAGCTTTGGATGCCAACTAGTTGCTCCGTCGATCGACAGTGCTACTGCACCTTGAAAAAATATATGCACCGATAAAAACTTTAGAAAGTATGTGCAAAAACTGGTTACAAAATCATCCTTGCATACGGCTGCAGGTGTTGGCCATTCACCATGAAGAGCAATTCAGAGGCAGAGTATACCTCAATTTGTGCTCGACTTACAACCATGTACGAGAAAGCGGCCATAAGCAAGGTGCACAGTCGGCTGGTGGTATACAGTGTGTGCCGACTGTTGTTGACAAAAGCGAAGGAGAAGCATCACAGGTGACAATTGGAATCTAGGCAGCTTCTGTGCAAGTTTCCTATTCCCCGAATGAAGGAGGTAAATGTGGTAGCTTTAGTCGGGATCGATTATCTGTCCACAGCCTAGCGATGCTTTTGTGGTTACTTTTCCCGGCTGCATGAACGTAAACCAGTTAAGTTTAGTAGACTCAAACTGTGAAGAAGATCATCGCTTCGCCATATCCTGCTAAATTCGTGCAAGTTTGGCAGATTAAGTCGGCTTTGGTTTTATCCTGAATGTGTTTAAAATACATGATTGTGAGCTGCAAATGTTGGAACACAATTGGTTGATCATGTCCACACCGACCAATATTATAATAGTAGAAATGGAGGCTAGGCATGGAGTTATATCGATCACATGCATCGTTTGATGAGACTGCTGTTGTAGTTGGCCATCGTGTGTGGCCCCCCCCCCCTGTCGTAGTGTATTTCCTATTATGCGGAGGCTCAAACAGGCCTTGTATTGTTGGACTGGCGTTATTGTCCTGTGTGGCTAGTACCAAACTTGTTCCTGTCGGTTAGAGAATGGATAAGTTGAAATTTAGAATAAATTATTGTTTTTACTTTTTGACCCAGAAACTAAATGTTAATATATCATGTTGGACCTTTGCTCCCTATTAATAGAGCAGGTCCAAGAGCAATGCAAACAGACTCATGCTACTATCATCGGATAGACCATCCAAACCATGGGGTTGGTTCATCATGCATGATTAGACCACACTGAGGATTCCACCTTATATTTTTGTTCGTAACACGGATCAGCCCTTTTTCCATTCATGATTTCTTCCACCTTCTCAAGAAGCATTCGACTTCATCTGGTTGTTTTCCCATTTTCTCACGAGTGATTTTCTATTAAAATTTTCAAGCTCTCCCAGACAAGATGCTACTTTTATTGTTCACAAGAATACTTCTCAGAGTCGACACATTTTTTGTGTAGATCTTGTCCATAGTCTTCCCTTAGCATGTTTGTGTAGAAAAAATTGTATTGTAAGACCAAAAGATCATTTTCTAAAAACACTGAAATATTTGAAAAACTATTCTTTTTATATTTTAAATTATACATTGCTGATTCAAAATGCGTTATCATTCCATGCGTCAATCTTGAATGTAGCATCAGGACTCCCACTCAATACCGTAAATTCAGTTCAACTAATATATCCCTTTGACCGTATGATTACCTTACAAACTCTTGGTATTAATGAAAGCTGTTCACAATCCATATGCATTGGCAAAAATAACGTATGCCGAAGATCTAAGACGTAGGACGTTAGCTGCTGACAACGCATCCGAATATAATATTGAGAACTCAGATCCACACGAGGCTCTTCCATCACTAAGACGAGCTGCAAAACTATAGGGCAAGTGTATCTGTTCCAATCAAGTCGGAAGAGTTCTTAACAAGTAGAGAGCAAGCTTCCAATCTGGAACCTCTCGTTTGATCAACCTTTGCAAAGCCGGCACAGCCTCAGCAGCCAGCATTGCTGCATGGTTCTCTTCGTCCATGCCGAGGTTGTAGAGAACAGCCAGAGCAGCTGATCTAGCCATATCCGTCCCATTTTCAAGTAAAGATACAAGAGGAAAAATACCTCCACCAGAGGCAATAGCTGCCGAGTATGCACCCACTCCTTCTGAGACCAGATCTTGCATCTCCAACACGGCTTTCTCTTGCACATCCAACTCAGACGTCTCTCCAATTTCTTCCAGTAGCTCAGGGATACGACCGTGTATTGTAATTTCTAAACCGATCGGAAGGCTCCCTTTGTCTGTGACTCGAGATTGTAATCGCCGGAGACATGGACTGACCCAGTTCTTCACGTATGAAGGACTAGTTGAAGCTTGGAGGATATTTAACAGTACAGCTGCAACTTGGTCAATGTCTATTTTGTCTACTACAGTATCATGTTTGACTAGTCCTTCCAGGAGTTTTGATGCAGCAATTATCACCATCCATGAGTCGGCATTGGACACATCACCTGAAAATGATTTATCAATTTTTTTCGTCAGATGCACGTTTGAAACGGCTTGTAGAGGGCTGTGACCATAGTAAGCGTCTCCAAAGGACGCAAAGTCTATGCAAAAATTAAGTTCAAAAATTTTCTTTTCAAAATGTGCGGACACCCTTTCAAAACAATTTAAGAATTAAAGGTCAGGATTAACATTAAAGTAAGGCTTAAAACCGTACGTTCATTTTCAGAAAGAGAATCGACAGGTTTAAGACAATGTTCTACCTTCTTGGACTTTCACGTTGAGTCGAGAAAGAAGCGCAGCTTCGACACCAACTTTTACCACAGCTTCTGCGTTTTCCCGCTCTTTAGCCAAGTTCTCGAGCACACTCGCTGCTTTTTCTGCCTGTAGTGGTGATCCTGTGGCGAGCATCGCAATCAACGGTGGAAGACCCCCTGCAGCCACAATCTTGTCTCTGGATCCATGCATTCAAAAACATTACGGCCTGTCAGAGATGACATTCAGAATAGCATTTCTAATGGAGCACATACATAAAATCCCCCACCCAACAACAGCAACACACACGCACATAGAAGGACCCTAGAAAAATATCTAAGGCCAATGTGCTGTGACAGAGAACAAAACGCTTCTATATAGCTGCAAACATTTTTGTCATCGCTGAAAGGAATCAATCCCTTGTTTATTTTGCTATTTTTCTGACTGGAAAGGTTGAATGACAACCTTGAGTCGGGTTTGCGAAAGGAAAGTTCTTGTAATATCCCTTCCGCTTCTTCTTTTGCTTCTGCACTAAAACCTTCAGAACTCACAATGTCCATCAGACCTGGAATGGCTCCATCTTGAATCTGTATGATAACCAGTGAAAACGTCACTCAAAAAGTCAAGGTTACGGATACTCCTCCGAAATATTACCAGAAACTGAAACTGTTACTGTTTTATATGTCACGATTAACGCAATGATACGTTCAAATAGGTTAATGTAGGAAACTTTTATACATTGGTTACAAACTTTTACTATAAATAAACGGATATGATGAATGGGTCAGGATGTTCAAGAGCTAACCATGGCGTCACTCCCTCCTCCTTCCTGAGAGAATCTTAGTAAAGTGCTCACCACCTGGTTCAAAAGAAAAATCAACTCAACTTATCCTTTCCAAGTTCGAAGTCAGTGGAAAATGAACCAATTTTTTTTGACTTCCTGTTTCGTGAATGTTAAATTACCCTTTCCTTGGTCGACGGCGGCGCATCGGAGGCTCTGAGAATCTCAATCAAGTCAGGCACAGCCCCATGGGCCTCGATTGCTCGCCTCACTTTCTGACTACATTTTCCACCAAGTCAAAAATAAGATAAACCAGAAGATACTATCCGATAGATCCAAAAAGAAACAACCTTCTGCTATCGTTCAAGCTCCTAAAGTATTTCACCGGTGATTAGAAATGCTTCAACCATGCCATGGTTCAGATTTTGCCTTAAATTTGCAACCCGGCAGTGCATCTGAATAAAACGAAAGCGTTTTCTCCATATTGAAAATCGGAGAATTTGAGTATCTATACCTCACCTCTTCCCCAACTTGTCAAGTGCTAGCGCTGCCGCCTCTGTAGCTGCTACATCTCCAGATCCCAGCCACTTTACTAAATGAGGAACAGCACCCGCTTTATGAAAAGCCTGTCGGTAAGCTTCGGTAATAGCAATTTCAGCAACAGACTCAGCTGCTTCCTTCGCAACATCCGGATTTTGTAGGCCCAATATCAGCACCAACCTTGCGATACCATCCCACCATGGCATGAATGTATATTTGTTTTCGTTGGAATCAGGAGACAGATCCTCCGCTTGGCCATCGTTTTTCTTTTCAATGACTCCAATACGAGCAAGGAACTGTTGTCTCACCTTGCCTTCATTCAATAACATCGTTATCTTGTCGATATCAGCTGGTCCAATCTTCAGACCCCGCAGGAGCTTATCAGCCCCAAACACGGTTGTCAAACTTGGGTTTTCAGTGAATTGGATGTCTTCAGGAATGGCAAAGGTATCTTCCATGACAGGCTTGAAGGTTCGAAAAGCACTAGCACCTATAAGGGGCACTGGCACCAATCCAGTTTCTATAATTGCCGACTTCTGGATGGGATCTTTCGCGAGTTGGAGAAGGCACTTTCGAGCTTCTTGTCGAGTAACTTTAGAGCTAGACGTCTCCTCCAAGAGTATCCTGGCCTAGCCCAAACATAAAAACAAAGATGTACCCAACTATTGATTTATCCTCTGTGCCAGAAATACGAACTAATCAGCAGTTCTCGTCAAATATCTTGACAAACAGACTGTTTCGGCTGGTTGAGAAATGAAGGCTTGCTTGAGGTATCTCATCAAATGTCTACCACTCTGATGTTAGCAATGTTACTCACTCGACGGTACCGAACAGGAATAACATTACTTTCAAAAAGAGCAAGAATCTGCACATGCAGCATTCAGATACTGGATTGGACAGAGCTACTCACCAGCCTCGGAATTACACCAGCCCTTATGAGCATTTCGTGGTTGCAGGGGCTGTATGAGAGGGTTGCTAGTACACCTATAGCTGCTTCCTTCTCCGACTCTTGATGGAAGTCCCCTGTTTGCAAGCTAACGGTGTCTTCCCCTTCTGTCTCTTTCTCTTCCTCCGAGTCCACTATGGCTAATAGTGCTGGCAGAAGCTCAAGGTCAGCAAGCTTGTTCCTTTCTCTTTCATTGAGCGAAACATTCCAAAGTACAGATAAGGCTTGTTTTCGCACCTGTGTCAAGGGGGAATTGAGTGTCTATGAGCAGCTTCTGGGAGAATAACTTTCCTAACCCAGCATTCTTCTACTCTCACATCTAGCAACGACATTATTACAGGGTACTTCTGAATCTCCACTAAGAGGGAAATATACAAAAACCACGTAAGCACCAAGAGATTAAGCTAATTCAAAACATAAATTCAAGTTGTTATACCTCGGGTGATCTTTTATGGCGGGTAAGCAAGCCTGCTATCTCTTCCAATGTCCCAGCCTCTGCGACTAAAGACCTGTCGATCAAATCAGACATCTCTTCTTTAGAGCAATGCTTTGAAAGGACAACAGAGAGTGACCTTGGCTGACACACAAATGCGCATGACCATACAGAGAAGAGAATCGAAATAAAGCTGGTTCCTCTTTGATGAAATTACGCTCAGAACAAATGCCGACTCACCTGTATTCCTCTATTGCAGAGATGTTGCGGAGCAGGCCAGCAGCTGCTTCCGCTGTTGCTTCTCTTTCAGAAGGTAGAAGGGCAACAACAAGATTCAAACAGCCCGGGAACATGACAATCTCTTTCACCTTGTCAGCTCCGGCCGCAGAATGACGCCAAAGAGCCAATACACCAGCTTCCCTGTCCTCCACAGGATTGTTAAGACTCAACATGCGAACGAAGATGGACACATAACCTTCTTCAATTTCGAGACCGGATTGATATCCCGAAGTCTTATCATGAACTTGTTCATAATCTCCAAAATCACTAGAGGGATCACTTCCAATGTTGACATTTATACCCTGCGCCGACATAGCATGCTGCAGGTTAATTTCTAATTGTCTTTCTCTACAGTCGATGCCATAGAAACATGAAAGGCTTCTCGTTACTGTTAGCTTCCATAGGTGATAAAAAAAAACTAGACGAAAATGACAAAAAACTTCTAATGTATTAGGCACACAAGGAATACATTCCAAGGATCAAAATTTCATCTACTCAGCCCACGTTACAGAATAATAACGGGATATCATTCAATTTTGAGGAACAGCATGTAAATACAACGATCTTACCATGCGATGCAGTGTATCGTCCGAAGGAAATGGCAATTTGTCCCAGGAGAAATCCTCTGCTTCGCTTCCATCACCACTTTCCTGAGTAGCTTGTGATACTATCTTGACAAGTCTAGCCCCACATGAGTTGCGACGAAAAATCCGTAGAACCTGAGGCAATTCATGATGCGTTCTCCTTCGAACATTTGAAACCTTGGATTGCGTTGCACAAGCTGGAAGCTGAACGTTCAGAGAGTCACCAGAAATGCTAAGTATCCTCAAGGTTCCACTCAGATTACTGGACATCATGCAGGAAATCGTCATCCTGAACTGCGACATGCCGAGAAAGAAAGGTTTGAGTGGCAAATGTTTTCCTTCACATGCGCATTATCTTTGATGCAAAACCCAAAATACAGAAGCTCGCCTACTCAAGCGTGCTAAGTTCGAGCAATTCCCCAATCAAAAAAAACGATCAACTGAGATCAAAGCTCCAATACATGACCAAATTCAAGTAGTTGCAATGCAATATCAGCAGCAAAGGCTGAAGCAAAAGAAGCATCTAGCTTCGAACCATTGCCCGAGACGTGGCATAGCCCAAGGAATCCGACAAACAGCTTCAAACCTCCCGAAAGAAGAAAAGCGCAAATCTAATGAAAGCTGCTGCCCTACGGCACGAATTTGTGCGGCTAATGCCATCAAACCCTCCGCATTGATCCGTCGACATACCAGCAACGCGGCACATTCTCTGCTGAACCAGAGCCTAGTGAACTCCACCACAAAGAAACCCTTGCAATTGCTGCAATTAGCACGCAGCACCTCAATGCCTGGAAGTAAGGGAGCACAACAGCAGCGGAGTTCATCCACAACGCACTTACTCTGGGGCATTCCAGCGTTGGAAAGAGTGCTGTGGCTGCGACGGATGAGCGCTTACGCCGCCATAGCTGAGGATTACAAGCGCACCCAACAACGATTCCAGACATTGCAAAAAAAAACACGATTGGAATCCCAAAAGATGATTAGAAGTTTATATAAAGTTTTACATTTTGGTAAACGTGTTCTTTGCGGAAGGGTTCTGGGTTGCCAGATAACGCTAACTTGGCATGATTTTCTGGACTATCCTGTCGCTGCTGCTTTAGTCTGACATCAGATCGCCAGAAGGGGGGATGAATTGTAACTATCTGGATTTGAGCTACCGGTGAGATTTTTGACATGCTCTTGCTATGTGATATCAAGTTCAGGATCCTACGCAGGGCGTCACCTTTGCGAATGCACCAGGTCGGCGGACAGGGCCAAGGAGAGAAAGCAGCTACTAGTGGACCTCTTAAAAAGATTAGAATGCTTGAAGGGGTAAACTGTGGCTAAAGCATCCATAACTCTGTATGATTTTCCATCCCCGAGGAGTTTGTCAATCTTGAGTATTCTGGGTCTGTTTTAAGGGCGCAGAAAACACAGTGACAGGGGAGGTGGAGCCTAGAATCATAGTAATATACCTGAAAAAGCCTTGCTAGCTCGTGGGCTAGTGAGATGGGTTAATGTTACATGAGTGTTAAGTGTCTTGATCGTTGATATGTATTGATAAGTGATAGCAATCTAGTGTTTTATTCTTATTTAATTAGTTCACTTTGTTGTGTATGATTTGTAAGGGGTATAAGGGGTTCATCATGGATGATAATATTAATATCACTGAAACCATGAGATAAGATAGTGTAATTACATGTATTTGGATTTAGATGAAGCTGTAGATGCGGCTCTAAGATTCATGAGTGGATTTGGAATCAAAAGTATGAAGTATTAAATAAAGTATTATATTTTGGATTGAACATCCAAAATGTTGTACCCTAAACGTAACAGCATAAACTATTACATTTTGGATGTTCAACCTAAACCAGATTTAATCCCATCCTCACCTCTACTCATTGTGTAAAATATTAACCTCCCGCAACGTCTTCGCTGTTGTCCAAAATCTCGCAGACTGATATTCTACTTGACGCGACCCACTCTCACAGGACAGCAAGGTTAAACGTCAAAAATGAGCTAAGATAAAAACAAGAACATGGGAATCGATTATAAGTGTCTATTCTCTAGAGCTGAAAGAAGGCATTAAACGGCAACCAATAACTGACTGGCACTAGCGTACATCCTGAAGACTCAGGCATGTTCGATAACTCTACAGGAGTAAGTTCAAAACTAGGAAGAAACATAGATTAACCCATGAAACATTACTGTATGTACCTTTCATGTAAAATTGAATAATAAGTTAAACAAAATCATAGATACTATTGGGAGATGTGAACACTTATATTCAAAAAAGTGAGGTGCTGGCTTCCTCTACAATCCCATCCCAAAGGGGCAATAACACGCCCAAAGCAAGTAGTAACGCTAACGAGAGGCCTACTTTCCTAACAGTACCAACTTCAGTGACATCATTTAAGCAGGGTTTCTCTTGATCTCTCTGCAAAAACACGTTGCACCATTCCGTATTCAGCATGACGACATTTACAAAGATCTGCACTACGGTGATCATATCGCCATAATAATTAACACTTAAAACCAAAAAAACTGAAGAGGATTTCACGTCGTGAGACTTTTATAATTATATCATGCACTTCAATAATTATATCATGCACTTCGATAGAACTAGAGAAAAAGGGAATAAATATAAATATTCACTTTACCTGAAGAATAAGTATATATAAACCCCACGGCAATGACAGATCTCCTCCAAGCTGAAAGCACATACAAATCTGAGGGTTAATTTCATCGTAATAAGAGATAACGGATACGCTTGGGATTCATTTCAGATATCATTACTTCGTTTACGCGTTGAAATTCAATGATGCAGGAATTCCAAATGAAACAAGGGACGTACCAATCCAAGACCGAGCAGCAAATAGGAAAAGAAGCCAGAAATTCTTAAAGGCATTTTTCCAAATGCGGCCTGCATGGCTCAAAAAGGTTCGATTAGAGAGCAGAAATCAAGAGATGAAGACCACTCTGAGAATTCCTTCAAATCCTTCCTAAATGTGGAGGAGCACTTAGATTTTAAAAAGAAATAAGAAAATAAGCAAAAGCACAGCTCTTCATAGGGTTTCTTCTTTAAAAGAGGGGAAATGGGTTCAAAAGAGAAACAAATATCATGCATTTAAAGCGGAACACTAGGCACCTGAAGGTTTATAAGCATTTAAATCAACGAAATGACAGGTATGTCTTGACCGTAATGCCTATTGTATTTACAAATTAAATATTCAGTCTTTGCGACTAATAGATCAAACAGCAGGAAATAAATTCTTCAGTCAAATCCGTGAGCTCTTTCAGCTACACGTACAAGATTCTCACCTGCATAGCACGCCCGCCGTCAAGGGATCCTACTGGCAACAAATTGAAGGTGGTCGTAGTCAACCCACACCTGCAACCCAACATCCATCAACGAGCAAGAATAGAAAACTATCAGATCGTGCTTGCTCCGATGAAAAAACCTAACTCAAAAAGCGAGAGTCAAAGCTATTTCCGGAACATGAATCAAAAAAAAAGTACTGTGTGGACACCAAAGAGCTTAAAAGACAACCGTGTTCTTACCAGCCCGCGATTACCAGTGGATGAATGGGAACTACTGCAGCACGCATGGCACTGCAACCAATCGGTCAAATTGTAGAAACAGTTAATACATAAGACTGTAGAAGCTGCAAAACGATCGAAAAAAGATGGGCTAACGAAACGAATAAAATGTGAACATCAATTAAAGACGGCCATCCTGAGAGTGCAAGCTATATATCTGCATGTCACATCAATGAAGAGGCTCACTTGTCGCCCAGGACTGCTCGGGTAGCAGATCCCAATAGAAGAGAACCTCGAAACAACACGCTGGGCACCTGTACAAGCTCATCAGTGGCCTCAGAGCCCACCGATAACCATAGTCCTACACTCAACATTGAAAGCGACAGAAGTCCCCCTGCCAAAGGGCCTGCTAAAGAGATGTCGAATTTTGCCATCCTGTCGGGCAATATAGATTTGAACTGCAAAAATGGTTTGTTAAGATTAGATCCAATTAACACCTAAAAAGGAGACTCCTGCTGGAGAACTGAACAACTTGTACATTGAATGCTTTATTCTTTCCTCTGACAGGATTTCCTTATATAATGTAATTGCCAAGTATGGGTGTTTCAGGAAGAAACTAAGCAGTAAACATAAGAAATTCGTAGAATTATTTGAAAAGTTACAGACATTGAATCCTCGTATTCAGACATTTGTCAAAATGAGAAGGAGGACAGATATATTGATAAAGAAAAAGAAATATATAAATATATTCTTGATTTAACTATAAAAGAATATTCCAACAAGATTATTTTATAGAATCTTCCAACAAGATTATTTTATAGAATCTTCCAACAAGATTTTGGTTTGTTGAGATATCTTAAGACTGAGAAAATGGTGCAAATTTATTCATTCGTCATGGAAATAGCCGAGTGAGGAATATGTTTCAAAAAGAGAGAAACATACCTGAGTGATTGCACCAAAACTGCCTAAGGTGATATTGGGAACAAAATAGGGAATGCTCAGCTTCACTCTTCTGGGTGCTGCTGCTAGCCAGTGTCCCACCTCCTGAAATTTCAAGCACCACCATATGTTTTATTTGATGCCGCAAGAAGAAATCGCTGTGATTGCTCAAGTAACCACCTTAAGATATAAGTATTGTTACTGATTACAAAAAATGGAAAAAGAAGAAGATGTAGAAGAATTACATCAATAAATAAATAAATATCTTTAATTTACACATCAAACATTGAAAACTGAAGGATGGCTTAGACAAACTTAATAGAAACAGTAAACACCGTCTAGCATTCAACTTATCCACCATGCAATGAACAGAATGTGTCGGGAGATATCATCAACAGATTAAGAAAACTTGCAAACTAGCTGTTAACCAGATGAATATAAACATGCTAGCTTGCCAAAAATACCATCTATCATGATAGTTCAGCTCCAGGACACACAGAGGGACAAAATCTGCAACAGAGATCTAAACCCTAGACTTGGCCATGTGACCTTGAAATGTGAGAGAATGGGCCGAGAGTTCCACATACATGGAAGAGCTGAACCCCAAAAACTCCATATGCGAGAGGAAGCGCAGAGTCTACAAATGGAACCAATAGCTGAAAATCGGGAGGTTCTATCGAATCTGGATTCGAGAAGTATTGCAAGACATCTGGTGGAAGCTTCGATATCTGCAGAATTCACCAGTTCATCAAAGGTCACCAAGTATGGCAGTATTTCTAAGGTGATTGCCTTCACAATTCTACAATAAGTCAAACTCCAATACATTGGACAACTGAACATAACTTATACATCCAGCTTGCCTTTACAAGGACCACTCATCCGCGTCACCATAAACTAAACCTGAAACATGCACATGCCTACATTCAAACTTATTAGCAACCAGGTACTTGCCTGCGATGAAATACCAAGCTCAAGGCAGGAACCTGCAGTGAGAGCGAACAATGTCACAGCTACAACGTACTGCCAGAATGAGGTCGCGCCTGGATCTGAGACCTCTTTCCTGAGCAAGACAAAGCTAACCCTGGGTCCACCTCTGGGATCTTGTTGCTCAGCATTTGGTTCCTCCACCATGAACAGATCATACTTTGAGTCAAACAACTCCCGCACGCCATTGCTCAATTTTGCAAAAACTTCCTCTCGATTCCCTCTCAGATTTCCTAGAAGAAGCACGCCTTGGCCTAAATTTCCAAAAGGCTCTTGCCCAGTCACCCAATATGTTGTGTAGCCACACAACTTCTCCTTAAAAAGTTTCACGTCTTCTGGATCTACTTTCTCAAGGCCAGAGAGCTCCAGTAATTTGAAGGCATCAAGTTGCGCGCCATCTTTTTTGGGCACGTCATCTGCCTGCGACCAACTTATTTCAGAAATTTACTCCTATGTCCATATCAGAATACTTAACACGAACCAAAACCAGAAAAGTTCACGAATCATGCCATTCAAACCATTCACTCTAAGCACAGTGTTGAAAAGGAGCTTAATGTTAAGAAAAGCAGTGCATGTTAGGCAATGGGCAGCTCCCTTTCTCAGTCTGGAGCTCCAGACAATGAATTCAGACAAAACACATAGCATAGAACAACTTCATCACTTTCACATCAATACTAGGAGCCGTAGTAAAGGAGGACAATCATAGCACACGCAGTGAGAGAGTTGCTAGAAATTCAGATGAAAATATGGAAAAAGCTACACGATCAGAACGAATACGAAATGCAAAATTGGTGCACTTACTGGAGATGTTGAAGGAGAAGAAGACGAATCAGAGGAGTTGGGATCTTTCTCTGACTCCTCCGTCGTAGCAGAGGAGGAGTTTCCGCCCCCTTTCTCCCCTCCTCCGTCCTCCGTTGATTTGGGAACCCTAATTCCATGCCGTCTTCCACCCCCGCTCCTCAAGCCAAATCTGAGCTTACATAGTGCGCCATTGGTCGAGCTACAGTGGCAATTGGCGAAGGAATTTGAGTTCGTATTCGTTGCAGCAATACTACATCTTCTTTGAGAGACTTTTCCATGGAATTCAGGCTCTAAGAAACTAACAGGATATCTAGCAGTAACAGGAAGGGATCCCACATGTAGCAGGGGATGGAAGCAAAGGTGAGGAATGTTATTAATTCGCCGCACAAGATTACCTCTTGCGAGAGAGGAAGCAGTCCCTATGCTTGTCATTTGAATTCTGCCCAATTCACTTTACACAACCTCCTCTCTTCCAAACGCCGCAACAAACCAAAATCAATCACCAGGACACAAGCGAAGCTGGTCACGTAGCAGCTTGCTCAGCTTCTTCTCAAACCCACACCCCAAGAATCGCAAACCAATGCCAGCGGTAATTAGAAATCACTAGAGCTCAATGGGAGATTCACTACCAGTGCAGCATTGGTTCACGGCATTCGCTCCACGCACTGGAAGGAAGGCAACTAAACTAGCAATAGTGAACGAAACACGCAGGCAACCAAATTGTGATGAAATTGAGGTGCAAGAGGAAGCGAGAAGAGTGGTCAAGGGAAAAAGAGAGGATAGCCTTTCAAGTGGTTTACACTATACAAACAAAACCCTGGAAAAAGTGTTCCGCTGTATTACTTTTACTGGGTGCTGCTAGGCCATGACGCCCATCCTGTTCTCACCTCGCCACCATTTCCACCACCACTGCCATTGTGGAGGGACTTGTGGCCAGCACACGCATAATCAGTCTCCTCTAAACTATTTTTCCCCACTTCGAGTTATATTTTAATCACAGAGCTCCGACTCATGGGGCGAATCTGGAAGGATTCAAGAAGGAATTTATGGGATAAAATAAAAATATTTCAACTAGTCTAACACTTATCATTGGCATTGCGGCGCAAGAACCTGCGGTACGTTTCTCGAGGAATATCTGTACAAATGGCGCATGTCGACCTTTTGAGATTAAGACTGCGAATGCATTAAAGAGAAGTTTAAAAAAAATTAATGATTCATCAATATTTATCATTATTCATATAGAGTGCAAGTATGGTCGGAACTTTAAATCTGTATCGCCGCATCAGCAGATGCCACTACTTGCTGAACCTCAACTGTCTGGCAACGTGATTACCAATGCGCTGCGGATTGGAGATTTATTACTTCGACGGCGGGACGATATATTCTGTGCGTCCCTCACCCTCTTAACTCGATGCCTCATGCCAAAATCAGTTGTGAATAAAGCTGCTCTGCCAAATTGTGAATTAGATTGAGAAGTGCTGAGTTCTTGAGTGGATGTGATAGAATACTTTGGCAGCATTTTATCCATGTGTAACTCGCAGATGCACCCCGCCGGAAGGGACACACACTCGGACTAGATTTATATTAAAGTTTGCGTGAGGGGTAAACGTGATAACTCGGGATAGGCACCCAAAACAAAACGGACGAGGTAGACTGATGTAAAACCCAGATAGCAGGCAGTCATGACCTCGCAGCAGGGGTCATTCTGACCGCATTATGCACAGATATGCACGCTGAGGGGCATGATCCTCGCAGCGCGACATCCAGAATGATTATCCTGTGGGAACAGGTCCATAACCATTTTACTTTCAGCAAGTTGACTGCTACAGTTGAAAGATGATAGTGCAACCGTAACTGACAACAAACAGCTGGGCGCAACAGACTTACATGTACAGTTAACCAGACATTCAGACAAAGATTGTTGCGGCCAAAGAAAAAATCAACCATGCTCAATAAACCCTTGCAGAAATAATTTCGCAATCAGACTACACGTAAGTAAAGCCTGGAGATACAAGGAGTAGTTTGACTAAAAAAATCCTCCATTCTTGTTGGAGGGAATCAACAGAGCAGAAAACAACATGAGGGCAAGGACATGCCCAAGGAGTGATCTGCCAGGCTAATGGGGCAGAGAGTTGATATTATTCTTGTAGAAGAGATTATACAAGACTTCAAACATTCCGAAAACCTAAATTATGCAATGAAGAGTACTGTAGATACTTTCTATGATTTCGGGGCGGAGTTCCGGTGATCCTTTCGAGTGTGGAAAAGGGAAGACAATAAACATGAGCAACGTCTGTTATCAAAAAGGATCCCAAAAGCAGAGAAAGCATCATAAGTGTGGGGAGAATGAAGGTTATGAGCAAGGACCTAGATCCGCAGAGATGACATGCATGGGGTACTCGGAAGAATTTGCGTACTCGAAGGCCACACTCCCGCCTGCTCGTAGCGGCGCACCGCCCATCACCAAGCAGTCGTTATACTTGATGCGCTGGAAGACGCGAGAATCAAGAGGCCGCGCAGAAGCAAACGCCGCACACGCCACATGGATGTTCCTCAGCTGGCAGTTGTGGTTTATGCACAAGTTCGTGATCTGGACGCTGAAGGCCGGAATGCCGTTGCTGTTCCCACTCTTTCCCTGAGTGATACTAATGTCCGCCTTGGTGCAGGAAGGTATCGACGCGCGCAGCTTCCTGTTGACGTAAGTCTGCGGGTGCTTCACGGAGAACGCAGCAGCTACTCCTAACGTCAGCTCCCCTCCATCGACAGTGTACAACAAACAGTTGACGAAAAGCACGAAACTACAGAGCCATAGGTAGAACCTAGTCTTCAACGCCATAGCTGTGCCTGCACTTGATAGCTCAATGCTGGACAATCTGACTGCAGAAGCTCATGAAACCTACAGTCATAAGGTGAGAGAAGAGTCATACTAGAACTCAGAGCCCGGCGATGGCTGCAAAAGGTTACGCATCTTCACAACAAACACCATACAAGCATGATGACAGCCCCAGCCCTGCAAAATGCCGCCCCTCGAGTATAGACTATCTGCATCTCGAGTGCTTGCCATCGAGTGCTTGTACCCCACACATTACGACGTACCACTGCACAACTACCTACACAAAAACTTCAACGTCGTGGCCGCCAAGCTTCCCTGGAACGCTCTCGAAATCCCACGGCCTCACTCGCATCTCACAAATTTCCACTGCTTCCTTCTCTTCAACTCGCACAAGAGGTAGATTTATGTAGGACATACACGGAACTCTAAATTGGGTATTATGGCCGCCGCTGAGACATATACCGAATTGCGGGCTGCACAAGCTTCAATCAAATTGGATCAAAGCCAATTGTACCCTCAAGGAGATCCAACAACTTCAATGACGACAGGCTAAAATTGCAGGGACACTCTGAAAAGACCAGAAACCTACAAGACTGTTGCTGATTTGCATCCGGATTTAGCAAAATTCTGACAACAGCGCCCTCCAGGTACTGGATGGCGCAATCAACCCAGTACAAGGTGAGTCAATTTAAGTCTTCATGTAACCGTGCGGAGCTGTTAGCTAGCCTTCACAAGTCTACCAATTTTCTGCAAATTATCACGACACTAATAAGAGAGACCAGCTACTACATTCTCCCTGCGCCTTGTATTTCCGCGTCCATGAGTCCATTAATGAGCTTCAGTAGTAATGGGTGTACGCCAAAATGGCAGAAGAGCGCTCAGAGACGGTCGTTGAAGGACACCCGCATTGCATGAGCGCCATGGGAGTAAATATGAGGCCTCAATGCTAGAAGCTTGAACCTAGTGGTACACTCCAAACTTCCAGAACATTCGGTTTGACATGTGTGAAATTGCTGCAGCAGCACACTAGGGTTACCGTAGCAAAGAAAAACATCATCCTGAATTTTAGGGTTAATAATAGTAAGTCGCATCAGTCAGGGAGGACCAGATTGTCTTTAGATACCGGAAATAAAAACATTTGTAAGGCTTGACATCAAGGTAAAGAATGAAAGCAGGTACAAGTTTGCAGGAAGTAATTAACGGTTGCAGAATCTGTACCTGCGTAGAGAGCTGCGTTGACTTACATGACGGTCAGGTACTTCCATGTGGAACGAAATGAGTGCACAAAACCATCTGATCATTCACTACTGCATTCACAAAACTTCAACCACATTAGGAATTGAGAGAGATCAATCAACCATCGCCAACTTCTTGAGAGAAAAATGCACATTAGACGTATCACAATTTCATGAATCTTCTGGCATGGAGCCGTGATTAATAGATGTTACAAGTCTAAGCTAAGACCTCCGCGCTGTGCTCAGGATATTGGAACGCCCTGGTCTATATCATTACAGCATGGACATTGGAGCAAACACTTCAGAGTTGAAAATTGCTCAGAACCTACTGTACTAAATTCTAAATACTACAAAATGCTCAGTCCCAAAGACTTGAGGAGGTATCACTCAAGAAATCATCATGAGTGGGATGAAAGCTCAAGGATACGTACCGTTACCTACTAACAACTCATTACAGAGTACTAAACCTGAACTCGATTGTGCGAGTGTAGCTGATCTGAGAACACTCAAAATAGATTCTGCCTAGTATGACAGGATCGTTTCCAAAATCTAGCGACACACAATATCCATCCGCAACATAAGCGTCCACGGACCTCTGTCAGGGAACCATTACCAAGCATCGATTTTTCCAGAGGCTGTTCCTTCTTGTGGACGAAGCAAGCCGTGGGCGCCCGCTTTTCTGTATCGATGCATTTCCTTCCACAGCTTGGACTCGGGCAGCTCTAAAAACTCCAGATGTATATATATATATATATATATATATGGTTGGATATCCCAATCGCCCTGGTTGAAGGGATGTTTGAAAATCGTAGCCAAGAGCCAATTTCAGATCGTTCGATTTCCACCGTAAGAAACCAAATGAGCTGAATGTTAAACTCTTTCAAGCTTTCATGCAGATAAAACACTTGATAGCACATTATCGATCAAAGCTAGAATAGTGGTATGATTCGACCTCGTGGTACATGAGTGAGCATGACAGTAATCGAGGTGCTCACTGAAAAGTTAGACGTCTTTGTATAATCCCAGCTGCTCAAAACAGTCGAAAAAGTCTGATAGTTTGCAGCACTTATAATCGCAAATAAGGGCCATGTTGAATGAAGTAAAGAATAGGAGACAAAACCAGGCAAATAAGAGCAATTGTGATCGCCAGAGCCTCACGGTTCTCCATTTCTTTCACTCTAATCCTGCATTAAAATTCACCCCAACAAATGAAACTAAGCACATTGTTCCCATGCAAAACAAAGTCACACAGTCTATTAGATGAAAAGAACCAGTGAATACAGCGAGCTATCTGATTAATGAAAATTCATAAATTTGGAAGACATACTATTCTCTCAACAAGCATGTATCAACCATCTATGATTCAGGAAAGATCGAGTACCTCATTGAATCCATGTCATTCTGAAGGGCATCAAATTTCGCACTCAATTCAGCATCCAAGGCCTCGTTTTCCAATTCTCGCTTCATTTCCTACACAAACGTCCACGTGCCGCCACAAATACAATCCGTGGGCAATCAACATCCGTGGAGAGGAATCGCATATATTCCATGCCCGCAACAATGTAGCCAAAGAGAGACAGGGTATACACTGGTACTTGCAAGATAGCTATATAAACCATGATATTTATCTAACGAAATCAATACAAACCGAAATATATGGGAGTGTGCATGCGTGTAACCAGACCGAAGGTAGTCACACAAGGATCCATTCTACTAAAGATGGAAATCCAAGAAAACGTAACTTAGAATGTGCCAAGCGATTAACATATCAACAACCAATTCAAAATACTGAAGCAAACAACTGAGTCAAACCATCGAGATCAGTTATGAAGGCACAAGAAGAAACATCAAGCGAACAAGAAAACTTACGATTTTATGTAAGTGGGCCACAAGCGAGGAAGCAATAACAGTCTCGTTTCTGATCTGGGCGGCAACAGCAGCAAGATCATTGTCAATGTCGGCAAACATTCCTTTATATTTCTCAAACAGGTCTCCAAGATAGCTGTCAAGTAGTGAATGGTTAAGCTCCAACTGCTTCACTTTCTGCATCAGTATTTTCAACACTGACTCTCCAGACGGTCGGCCTGATAAATGTAGCCATCCTTCTTGAGGACCCCCACTGACTCCCTTGGCTGGTTCTTCCTTCCGTCGTACCTCAGGATTAACGTTGCTTTCACATTCATCCTTCATTGGTTTTTCGAGAGGATCCATTAGTAAATCGGAAGGATCCATGTCATCACCCGTATCATTCGGTTTAAAAGACTTAGTTACACCTTTGTCAGAGACACCTTCACCAGCACTGGCACCGCTACTACTCGAACCTGTTGTCCCATTTGGTAGAACACGTCGACCGCCTTTCCCCAGATCAACATCGTCTCCAACAATCCAATCTTCCAAAAGATGCTCAATGGCATCAACTCCATGGATTTGTAAGACAGTCAATGTGCAATAAAACTCTGAGCCATAATGTGTAAGCAAGTGGAGCTTCAAGGTACGTACCCACTTGGGCTCTGGAAGAGTGAAATTTTGGATGTGCCTGACATTTTCAGCTTCAAAATTCCCAAGAGATATCCACTTCTCTGTTGGGTAAACCTCAGGACTACCAAGAAGCTCGAAGTTCTTCACATTTGAGGAATGGTATTCAAGATTGCCTATCAAGACAGTATCAACAAAAGTTTCTTCTGCCAGTTCGACAACAATGTACTTGTCCTCGGCACTGCAAGGATTCCGTAAGTACTTGTCCTTGTCTGGCACCAACAGGTTTGAGGCTCCTTTTGCATCCTTGTTAGAGGCAACCACTTTCGCGCCATGTGAGACAGCAGCATAATTGAACCTCCCATCCGGATTTTGATTTTGCGGATAATGAATACTACCACTGCCATTCACCGTACGCCGTTTCTCAAGAACTGTCTTCTTATACTCATCCAAGCTCTTGACCTGTGTTACCCGCAATGGCCGACTCAACTCCTGTTGTACCTCAACTGACGTATCAGACTTCAGAAGTTCCTCCTTCACGGCTTGATCTGCTGAAGATTGGGTAACAATCTCAAGCGGAACGATAGGAACCTCAGAGGGCTGTCCCAGTGATGGTGTCTCGGTGGTCTCAGCTTCACCTGAAGGTGTTGTATTAAAGGGATTCCCAGAAAGACGAAATTTTGAAACATCAGCACTAAATGCTTCAACAAATGATGGTCCACACAAGCAAACTCGAGTTGCCGACTGTGTGAGATGGTTTATAGTGGGCATCTGACAAAGTGGTTCACAGGAAACTGAATCCGTGAGGGAATCCCTCTGACAGATCAAGCATGGTTTGTCAATTACGATAGCTTCTGAATCGCCCGATGTTGACAACCTTTCGCGACTGCAACACATCTGATCCAGAAATGGTAATTCTGACAACCATGAAATAGTACCATTAGGTGAACCATGCTCCAAAAGCTGCACAGTGGATGCATCGCTTTCGCTGCTATGTCTGAGACAGTCAACGCCAGCTACACCCACCAGGCAAAACTTGAGAGGTTGCCGAAGGCCTGAACTCCAGGGAAGAGAAGTAGCTCCATTTCTCCGCGAAGGAGCTTCTTCATCAGCGATGAAAGCAGCTGACTCCACTGGAAAAAAATCATGGCCATCTTCAGCTACAGAGCTTGCCGAGGCGAAAAATGACATGTGCTTTTTGGATGCAGAAAGCTCCTCATAAAGACTTTTCCCCTCAATTGTATGAATTATCTTCGTACCCAAGCTTTGGGTGTCACCATTTGCAAACGCCATACTGCCATTGACGACTGAGCAAGCTCCTGCGTCGAGATGCTCTGTGTCGTTAAGATAGCACCATTGACGACTCAGATGTGAGGCATAAGACTTCTTGGAATGCGATTCTCTTGTTTTCGACAATGAAGATGGAGCTGCTCGGTTCCTTGCTGCAAGGATAGTAGAGTGAAAGAATCCTGCACCCGATTCCAAGTCCAGCAAAAGTGAACATAGTATACCTACCAATTCTCCCAACACAAGTACCGAGACGCCGTTCACAACATTAATACCTCCTACAAGGCGCGCAATGACGCGATCTGGTTGGATCACTACTTAATCAAGATTTACAAAATCATAAATTGCAAGTTTTTCCCACGTAAATTACCGTAGATTTAAGTTTCCTCAAGGAATTATGTGTAGGGAACAATAGTTCGCAGGGAGCTGATACTCAGGGTTCAGGGTTCAGGGTTTAAATTTTATTTTAAAAGGTTACTAAATCGGTTCCACAAAGCTCGAAGCATGAATTCACGTCTCCTTTCGTAATGGCGATATTAAAAGATAGGAAGGTGACCCTCAACGATAAAAAAGTCAATCCTCACAGATAAAACCAGAAATCCATCGTCCGTATAACTACTTCAGAGGAGTTGCGAAATATGTTTACCATATGAGGATGATTAACTGCCTACTCAATCAGTCACACGTCGAAATAAGACAACTACACAGACTTCGCCCCAAATTTTGCATTATTCCACGAATGCGAAAAGCATTGTAAGAGAGGTCTGCTAAAGATCAAGAAGATCTTCGAACGACTAACACATCGACATCTCAGTCGACTCGATGTCAAATGAACGTACACGGACCTAAAGCATTTTAGTCACTGGAAACCCAACCTTGGATCAAAATCTGAAGCAACAAAGTTACAAATTAGTCCTAACTTCATAGTCCCACGGTGTAACTTTCTTAGGACAGCGGTACTCCATCGTAGCACCATTAGTCCTAACTTCAAAATACCACACCGCCTAATCTCTAATTTATAGTTCAACAAATGTGACTGCAGGATAATGCATTCCTAAATCCCCACCTTACTTATGCCACGACTCAGTGGCGGTCACACTCCAAGACATTCAACTGGAGCAGACAAAGAGCGAGAACCCAGATTCAAAGATTACCTTCAAGATTTGGAAGCTTTTCAATTGACGGGAAGAGCAAGACGAGGGGGACGAAGACCAATAGCGCGGCTGGGATCCTGGCCACAGCAAACCACGAAATTCCGTAGCTGCCATACCTTCTCCGGCCGTGCTCCGGCTGCAGGAGTTCCTTCTGACTCAACTGATCACCCTTACATCTCTCAATCCTCTCCGACTTCTTTCTCGTCGCCTTTAGGTGCTTACTCTTCGCGACTTTTTTCAGCATTTCTTACACTCTTCCGTGCACCAAAATCCCCGATCCCACAAATCGCCAGACTCCTCAAAGCCTTTTCCTCAGATTCAACCACGACGCACATCACATTACAAATCACACGGGGACTCTGCCGCAACTAGCAGGTCCACCTTCCTGCGCAGCATTGGCACCGAGGATACACCGGTGCGCCTCACAAATACGCTCCACTCCAGCCGCATCCGCCACCAAAATGTCAGAGATCGGCGAAATCCACGTCGTAAATCTATTCGACCCGCGTCATGCAGGCGCACAATCAGCCGCGGCACTTAGAAAAGTGGGCTGTCCGTGCTGCGATGATTGTCATGTTTCTTGCGCACGACGCCCCCTTTTCTCCCTGTTTCGCCCAAAATCCACGAAATGCCAACATTCACAAGACTCCGCTGGTCGGTTTCACAGCATGTGCCCCTCTGACCCCACCTCCACGGAATCTCTCGACCTGCCCGGGCTGGTCTCCGAGATCCATTGCCTCCCTCTGCCACCTCTCCCTCTCGCAGACCCTGCGACTACTGACACGATTGCGATCTCAGTAAAACCACGAATCCCTCTGCTACGAATTTTGTGATGGACCCGGGCAGATCGCGTCTATTTATGCAGATTTCGCCACCTTCGCCGTGATGGTTTTTATCGGGGGCCCATCATTAGCTGCGCTTTGCTGACCTGGTGGGAATTGACACGGCTATGGCGTCGCCTCGGATTTTATCCTTGCAAAAACTATATTCCAGTTAAAAAACAAAAATCAAAAAGCTTGTGTGATCCTAGATTAGACAAACCTTCCAGCTCGGAGTGCCCAAGTGTGAACAGATGTGTCGGCAGTTTCAGTTTATTTAGATCACAGCTGGCAACGCCCTCACTAAGCCACTGACCCAATTCACGATACACGTGTAAAAGGCGCCAGCACAGCAACTGCCAGGTCAGATGGGTCTATCTGGAGTCTCGTCAAGAGTCGCAAAAGAGCTGCTGACTGTGCGCACCACGTCTGCCATTGTGCCACGAGATCGTGCGAGGTGGCAAGCTTCGGTTTTCTCCCCGACAGTGAGAACGGGAACAGAATCCTCGTTCCAGCTGTGCAGTGAACAATGTCCACCTCGGCGCTTTCTTATTGGTTGATATTACCTGACGTGGCACACGACGTGCCATCCTCCTTACGCATGTTTTTAGCTCACTGAGGAAATAAAATCCAAAAACTGATTTGAGTGGACCAAGTTTAAATCTTTTGGAGGATTGGATTTTTAAAGTTGTTTGTCAGATTCGTAAAAAAAATATGTAGTAAACGTAATACTATTCATAACATAATTTACTCATGTTTTTTGACTAAGTCATGCTCTCCTTTTGAGTATGGTCCTTGCATCAAAAAAATTAAAAACGACTTTCAAAACAGGAATTTCTCCTCTTTATTGGATTTGTATGTCATAGTTTACTACTAAAGATTTTCTTTCAATAAATATATATTTATATATATATATATATATATATATATATATATAGAAATAAGGAATCCTTAAATTGACCCATGCATTTACTAAATCAATCTACCTATTTCTAACCATCATCAAAACATTCTCTACTACTAGATCCGTATTGGTTGGTCAATTTAACAATTCCGTATGTATATATATATATATATATATATATACTTTTGTTCTTTACAAATTAGAGTGTAAAAAACACATATTTTGAGATTATGTCAACTACGAGCTACAAATTAAGCAGGCTGTTCTTTTAGAATAGAGTATCAAAGCATTGTCACAACTTTCTTTTGGGTTAATAATGATTGACGGTAAGTTTCATATTTATTAGCTATGCCTTCTCAAGCCTCTATTTCTACACAGATGTATACATATTTATTCAAAAAATATATCTTCAAAACTTACAATGTCAACTTTACGATATTTGTCTCAAATTCATAAATGAAAATTTTAATCTGACTGCAGCCTATGAAATTCAAAATTTTGTATCACTTAACTGTTTCTTATACTTGTGTTTCTGCTTTTTATTAACATAATTTCTACCAACTGCATTAATAAACAAAAACGAAGATCACAAATCGTTACTTTGAAATTATTCAAGCTATTAATGGCACACAACTACTGTTCTGGTGCACCATTTTTTTTTGTTTGTTAGTATTACAAAGTCACAATACTTATGCCATATTCATATTATTCATTGAGTAACGATTGCAGCTAAAGAACGTTTAAATTTTGTAATACATTCCTTTTAAGTATACTTGGAAAACGGAGTGTTTCTTTACAAATTGAAAAAAAAACAAAAAAAATCAAATCAAATCAAATCAAAGCACTTAGTCATTATTAAATAATATTAACAACAACAACAACAACAACAAATTTGAAGGTTAGCAATCTTTAGTTGGGATACCAAATAATTGAATGGACGTCACTGATTTCAAAAATAGGTTTTTCCTTTTATTGTCATAACAAAATGAAAAAAAGTATATCTTTCAACCAACACTTGAATTAAATACATTTTTTTGTTTATACTAAATAAAGCTCGAGCTTAAATTCATAGTTAATATGTAAATTTTGCAAACTAGATAACTTTAAAATTTAAAAATCACATCAAGTCGTTCGTTTATCAGGCTAATTATAATTGATACCAATACAAATTAGTACATCTTACTAAAACTGAAACACAAATAACTTGTTATTGATTGAATTCTCTGTCTCTTTTACTTATTTATATATATACATATATAGGTGTGTGTGTAGATATATATATATATACATACACACGAGTCTAGTTTAAATGATTTCAATACAGTAAAATTTCAACTGTTCAAACAGTACATAGTTAGTGTTCAAACAAGTTAATCATAGCATTTTTATATTTTTTTTATATTTTTTGAATCCAAATTCAACACACGAATAGGATGACAGAATTATTTGTTTTAAACAAAGAACATGCCCTGCAAACTTTTCAAAAACCATCATCTCAAACAGCTCTTTCGAAAGGTTCTGCACAAAGCACCAGGTCTGAAAAAGCTTCAAAGGCAAAAAACTAAAGTGCTCACACACACAGTTGCTGTTACATAATTGTTGTTGTTGTCCTAAGAGGTTCCATTTCCATTATTTCATCTCCACATTCAATTCCCCAGGTTGGTTGCCATGTACAAAGTCATATACAAATATCTGGACATGGTTGAATCAGTCCGCGGAGATGAGAAGAAATCAGTCCCTGCATAGAACGAGCTCTGCAGTAGTTATACACAAAAACAACGTTGCCACACACATATAGATTGGGTCCCACACAACGCTGGCGGATTCAACGAGGCAGCGAGAGAGTGAGAGAGAGAGAGAGAGAGAGAGTCACACCACTACCACCATAGCCAAGATATAAGAGATTGGATGCTGCAAAAGCAAGACTGATGGATGATTTGCATGAAACCTGACAGCCACACTACCATAGCCAACACAGGAGAAGCAGAGCTCCTTGCTTTTGTGGGGGTACCCACGACCTCGTCCAGAACACTGCTATCTCCAACATGAGCACGTTTCAGGCACAGGGTTGTCATCGTGGGGTTCATGAGTTCACGGGGTCACTTTGGCACTGTAACGTTCATGCTGCGGTGAGGGAACAAGGTCCTCTATTCCTGAAACAACTGGAAATTTCTTAAAAAACAACGTTTCACACTGTGGGTTCGAGAGTTTGCAGCAGCAAAAGACGGTCACCTGCTTCCAAAGGACTAACCCGGCGGGGCTCGGGATGAGGACTGACTGATACTCGGTGATGGAGACAGTAATCGGTCCCAATCTCCGCTGACCTTGTAATTGTCCTGGCTTCTCGTCCGCGGCTGGATGGAGAGTTGTCAAAATTCCAGAGTTGTCACAAAGGAAAGATGGCAGCGGCAGTTAAAGAAGACGAGAGTTCGTGGGTTAAGACTTCGGAACCTGTTCCATTCTATAACTTCATAAGGTTGCACAGAGTGTAGTTTCGTCAAAGGACAGTGCTGTTACATGCTCAGGACCCCGGCTTAACGGAGGTGGAAATGCGAGAAACGTTTTTGTCGTGTTGATGAGAATGTTTTCAGTACTGGAGGAGAAAGAAACAAATGTAGACGAAAAATATCTACCAATCAATAGTAGTCATTCTCTGGAAGTGCAGAGAAACATGCTGCACATTCATGGACTGAGTCACATCACGTTGATATTCTAGCAACTTATGTAATAAGATTGAATCGGCCGAAGAATTCTCACGGCATACGAAAAATCAAGCTCTCCAAGCAGCTCCAATCCGTGATGATCATGGGGCATTCACAATGTCACTGCCGCTTCTGCATGGCGCTGCAGCAGCTCCGTTCTCTTACTGCTCCTCATAGCCTCCACAAGCCACAACACCCCTTCCTGTATACCAGATCCATCATAAGCTGAAATTCCTTGAACCCTTGATTGTCTGTCCTTTTGATTCTTGAGCTCTAAGAATCGTGACAACTCCTCAGGATTGACAGCGTTCGGCAAATCCTGTTTATTTGCAAACACCAAAACCGGGGCCCCTTGCAAATCAGGATGTCTGAGCACCTTCTCTAGCGCGGATTTCGTATCCTCGAACCGGGTATTACTTGCGGAATCTACGACATAAACGACAGCATGAGCTTCCTCGTAATACTTTTCCCAAATGGTGCGAAGCCCTAATTGCCCTCCCAGATCCCAGAAGATGAGCTTTGATTTATGAGCCTCAACTCGACCAATGTTGAGACCTACAGTGGGTACAATTCGGTCTGGCGGTAGACCTTCTACGTCAGAATAGAGGGTTTTAAGCTTCTCCAGGAGTGTAGTTTTCCCAGCCTTGTCAATCCCCAGTATGAGGACATGAAACTCCGCTTTACTGAAGAGGTATTTCCACAGCCCATAAAGCAAGGAAAACATCCCGCCCGAGCCCTAGCACGCCCCAAATTACTGCACAAAATCAATGACTCCGACTCTGATATAATGATTTTCCCAACACCAAAGTACGGGATCACCACAATCTGAGATAACCCACAAAAATGGCGCGATGGATAGGGTTTAAAGCCAAGACATGTGACAATTTACATCTTCCATTCGCCACCTTTAGACTTCACCGGTCGTAGGATTATATTGCGCACATGTGCCCTGCAAAGATCACCACCGCCTCCAGCCCACAAACTCTCCTTGTCACATCTCATCAGCAGCCCTCAGAAAAACTAGTACGAAGAGATCTTCATTGATAAAAAAATATAAAATAAAATAAAAACTCTCAGTCTTAGGGTAATCCGAAAATAACTACACAATCTCCCACTATGTCCCCATCGCCACACTCACAACCCACAACTTCGCTGCCGTCGAGAACACAAACTGCACAACAAGCTGCGTGTATTCATCCCTCCATGAAAGGCCCTTGCGTAGTCCTCCCGAGCGGATCCTAGCCACCAAAAGCAAACATCCTCCAGATCTCTCTCGAGTCAGAAGCTTAAATTAGGTGGCGCGATTGAATTCCACATACTGTGGATCTCGAGAAGCTACCAAATACTCTTAACTTTCTAAGCTAACATCAGGAATCCGAGCAGAAGAGAGACCCTATCCCTTCACAGATCTGAAATCCAGTGAAGCGATGCTCCCAACTGCGAAGAGAGCACCAAGTAGGGTCTTCCACGGCAACAACCGTGCCATGGTAGAGAGCCAGAACACGCTTCTCCTCAAGTCAGGGACGACAGTTCCATTCAGAACCTCGCGGATTCTCAACCACCAGGACGGTTCCAGCCCTTGCGTAGTCCAGAACAATGCGAGGAAAATTACAGACACCCCCAGTCATCACTTGACCTGAATGTTTTGGATGGTTGCAAAGATATATTAGATTAAAATCTTTCATGTTGTTGTAACGCTTGTTTATTATTCTTCTAACTATTTTTCACAACAAATTCTAAGCTTGTTGCAACAGAGAAGAAGAGGGGAGTTTCAATCCATTTGTTCATCTCCTATTGCCTCCTTTAAAACCTAGTATTATTATTGCTTGTTGACTTCTTTAAACTTGGTACCATGTTCACATGTTTATTGCCATTTTAAAGTCTAATTTAAATGTTTTCTGGGGTTAGTTTCTTTCTTTGAATTTGATAGCAATGTTTACATGATTGTTAAGTCTAATGTTAATGTTTGTTGTTTTTTATGGTCCTACTACTAATTTTTATATATTTATTGTTTTTGAACTCAATATCAGCATTTGCAAAGTTTGCTATTTTTTTTGAAGTGTAATAATAATGTTGTGTTGTCATTACCTCCTTTAAGTCCAATATTAATATTTGCATTCATTAAGTCTGCTACCAATGTTTGCATGGTTGTTTCATTTTTACACCTCATACTAATGAGAAAAAAATAAAAATAAAATAGCCAAATTTTTATATTCCCAAGGAAATATTATGGCACATTGCAATGGCTTTTTTGGTCTAAAATTAGCATTTAGTTACCAATAAAGGTTTTTTTTTAAGTGTCATAATTATTTAAAGAAGCATTGACAATAGATGCTAAGTATTTGTATAAATGGATTTCATCCTTTTAAATTTAAGTAATAATATTTGTAAAGAGAAAATAAAATATATTTTATTAGGTTTTAAAAACTTAATTCTTGTATTTAATAAAGATTGGACGTTTTTTTCTTTGAGTAGTAACCTTCTAAAGAAATACTACAAAGGGTTGTTGAGAAATATTTTTGTTGATTTTTTAAATGAACTTTATTGCCACCATTGGTAGTGCATGCATATATTCAATAAACAAATTGATTATGTGTCTCTATAGAGAACATCAAAACCTAGCCAAAGAATGGATTTATGCTTATTCTTTTTCTTATTTTATATCAGAGAAAAAATAATATTAAAAGATTATTACTATTTTAAAATTTAGAAATTTAGTTATTCTTTACTTTATGTTTTTTTTAGGTGTTCTAGGTCTAAATGCAAAAGCTTTAAAAATTATATCTTAGTTTTTTAAAATTATTTTATTTGATACAAGGAAAATTATTTATAAATTTACTTATAAATTTACTCAAATATTATTTACTTATAAATATTTACATTAGTTTTTATTTACATAAAATAAAAATAAACATCTATTAAAATCACAAAATATTATGAAATGTTTGATTTTTTTATTTCTTGTCATACATTATCTTCTTGCAAAATCATTTGTGAGAAGTTTTATTAAGTTAACCATTCTATATTTAGCTTTGGTCAAATTGACTTACTGATTTTTATGATTTTTTTTTTTTGTTTTTATATATACATGTTCAATATAATATTTTTGTAATAATTATGGGTTGATTAATTTAAAATTATATATGCATATCTACTACAAGGTTCATTTTTAGACAATTTGGTGCATATTTTAAATTTGAACTAGAATTCTAAGTTATAGCATAATAGAATGGTTTGATTTGGAAATATGAACAATAGTTTTTATATCTGCAAAGTCTCAAGTATGAAAAAGATAAATTTAATATCTTCTTGCAATTTTTTACAGCTAATATATATTTATTTGACATCTTGTAAAATGTTTATGAATTACACCTTGTAATTGAAATAAAAATAATATATTATGGTTATAACAACCTTAAAAATCCCTCTAAATTAAATATCCTCTTAATATATCAAAGCTAGTCTAAAATCTAATTGAGAATGGAATAATATAAAGAATATTAAAAAAGTGCATATTAAAATAATGTAAAGAATATTAAAATAATATAGTAGCTCACAATGTTGATTTTAATTCCTTTTTTTTTTTTTTTTTTTTTTTTTTTTGAATCTTAATTACAATAGAGTAAAATTTTACAATGATTCCCTTGCTCTACAACTTTAACAACTCCTAATCCCACCCCAATCCTTAACTCTTCACTTTAGAAACCAAACTATCTATTCAAAAATAATAAAACAATACAAAATTAGAAGACCTTGACAAAGTGAACTCCACACAGAAACCACAAAACAAATAGAATTTATCAAATGAAGTCAACTTTAGCCCAAAGAAACATGAACCAAATCAAAGCTACAAAGCTCTTCCACCACGTCAACTTTGGCCCAAAAATCGAAACAAACCAAAGCGACAAGACTCCACCAACTTTTCCTTCGCCTCAATCGAAACAAACCAAAGCCAAAACTTCATTCGATAACGCTCATTTGCCGAAGTTTAGTCTGAAATTGAGCATTTCTGTGGCACGGCAACGATAGGATTAATGGTTTTTATCCGACTCCGATGTTTGCAACGTGAGTTCGGACCGGGAGAAATGCAAGTAAGCGGTGGCGGCACGCAAGGCCACTGGTGGGTTTTATCGAAGCCAACTTTTGTATTTAGTCTTCGTATTTCATGTAATGGGTTTGTGGGTTGCAGTGTAGAGAGGCTTTGATTTTCTGACACTGGAGTTGTTTGTTTAGCAATTATTGTGGGACTCGTTAGGTTTGGGAGTTGCAAGCTTTTCAGCGCTTGGACTGCGGTGACTCAGCTGTAGGGGTCTTCTGCTGTGGGCTTCGTTGCTAGACTTTTAGTTTTTTTCTCGCTTCTGTGGGATTTCGGGGGAGGATGAAGGAAGAATCGTGGAGTATTGGGATTTCTTTTGGTTAGGTGCAGTTTTTGGAGGTTGTTTGAGATGGGTTTGTCTTTATACCGAAGTGTGTTGAAGAGAAGAGGGTTTAATGTTTGGACTGTGTGTGTATCCTACAGCAGTCCTCTTAGTTCATTGCTGTTTCCAGGGAGATGAGTTGTGCTTTGGGTTTCGAAATTGTGTCTAGGCAGGTGGGAAGGTGGATTAAGCTAAGGAAGTTAGGAGTAGTTAGGAGAACGGCATAGCTACGCAATTTGGTTGAGGAGGAGCGAGGGTGAAATGTTGCATTTGGCTAGACGGTGGCACAATCTCCCTGGTCGCTAAATGAAATCATAAGAACAAGAATAATAACGAGAATAATCGTTTCTAGATACTTAAGAAATGAACAGGCTAAAGAAATTGCGCCAACAACCAGATAACCGCATTTGTGCGGATTGTGGAGCGCCAGATCCAAAATGGGCGTAAGTCTTGATTTCTCTCTTCCTCCACTCTGTTTGTTTTTGCAGACAGAGACTGCTCATGACATAGAACGTCCTTTCAAGGTATTCTCACGAAGTCTGTCAAGGTCATAGCAGCACTAATTTAGCGAGCATATCCTGTAGATGCCTAGCATCTTTTCTCACCAATGCATTTGCATTTGATTCTCGAGGCCACTTATTCAACCTGATCAGTGGCTGGGTTTCTGCGGATCTTCTTATTGGATACATGTCGCGTCGCCCATGCAGATCAACAAGTATAGGGGTGTTTCTATGTATCAAATGTTCTGGGGTGCACCGCAGCCTTGGTGTACACATCTCGAAAGTAAGTGTGCTTCTCCATCTTCTGGGCATATCAGTAATGCGAACATATCTGGACCGGCATATATATCTATTTATATATATATATATATATATATATAACTCTATTGGGGTTGAGCTCGACTGTGCTGTATGGATCTCATCCACAACGTAGAAGATTAGTTCTTCTCTTTACTCCAACAGCGTGGGTATTGTTAGACCAGTTGCACCTTATAAAATGAGTTCCGTGAAAAAGTAGACTTTCGGACCTCATATGTTTCTTTTACATTCGTTGCAGGTTGTATCTGTAACGCTGGATGATTGGTCAGATGAGCAAGTTGACCTTATGGAGGCCATAGGTGGCAATGCATCCGCTAATTCAGTCTACGAAGCTTGCATGCCCTCTGATGTACGAAAACCTTCTCCAGATGCATCTGTTGATGAGCGTTCTGAATTTATAAGGTGACTTGCGTACTTGTTTGTTACCATCGAAGATTAAAATTGGACCTTGATTGTTTTTACTGAATAGTATTCTCTTCAGCTCTACTCTTAAAAACTGGACATTGCTTGTCTGCGACGTTATAAACATATAGAAGATTGAATAAAATTGGTTCTTTTACCACAGATATATGTCCAGCTTTGTTCTGTCTTGAAATTCAGTTATTTATTTATTTATTTGTTTGTTTATTTTAAGTGTTCACCAATTTGTGCAGGCGGAAGTACGAGGATCAGGAATTCTTGAAACCAAACTTGCGAATGAAATCACAACCCACCTCTCGTGCAAGGACTATTACCTCACAAGTAGATAACCCTTCAGCACCTAGTAACATGGGTTCCATGAATACCAACAGGGATTCTACTTACAGTAGTAGCACGAATTCGATGAATAGCAATCGTGACTCACTTGGGCTGAGCCATTGCGGCAACGTATCTGGCAGGTTTAGCAACTTAAGGATATCATCTGCCTGTGCTCCAAGTCGTAAAGGTGGTGACTTAGTGTCCCGTACGATTTCCAACCCAAGCACGGTAAATGCTCAAAACATTGACACTTTATATTGTCTGGATTAATGATACAATGAGAGAGAATAGCAACCCATTTCTGATTCTCTGTGAACTCAACTACCGATCCAAGTTGACTGCTTTTGAACAAATATAACCTTGTGTAATTTTTGTCTTCTGCATGTACTGTATTAGCTTTCAATTGTGCCTCAGAACTAGCGAAAGGATTAATCAAGTTTTGCAAATTGACTTGTTTCGTTTGCTAGTTCGAAATTCGTTAATCTTATTTATCCATGATTTAAAACTCGAGGACATAATACAAGCATGCTCTTCGAAGTATGTAGGACCTTGATGTAATGGTATTTAAGAACTAAGCGGAGGGAATGTAATTCTTTTATACATGGTTGACCTCTCTCTCTCTCTCTATATATATATATATATATATATATATTTATATACATCAGTCTTTCTTTCCTTCGTAATGGTTGAAAGCCCTTGCTGGCCATACCTGAAATTCTAACTCTAATAAGTTTGAGGGTTTGTGAGATGACAGGCTGGCATGGTTGAGTTCTTGGGAATGCTGAAAGTGAGAATTGTAAGGGGGACAAACTTGGCTGTCCGAGATCTGTTGTCTAGTGACCCCTATGTTGTTGCCACGCTTGGAGCACAGGTATTTACGTCACTTGACCGTTCTGAATGATCTTTTATGCTTGGTCTCCTCTATATGGTCTTCTCTTAGCCATGCACCCATTTTTGGTTTTTGGAGATCAAATGGAACTTTATGTAGGGAGGGATTACATGGATGGAGGGGCTCACCTCTTATTTGTCTCGTTTGCAGACCGCTAAAACCAAGGTGGTGAACAGAAATCTTAATCCGGTCTGGAATGAAGAGCTCATGTTCTCTGTACCAAGTCCTCCGCAGCCACTCAAGCTGGTAAGTTTCTATTCCAGTTTTTGGTTACATACGAGTCAATTAGAGTGACAATCATGTAGTTTACTTTTGCACGCGATGTTCCCTCACTAACTTCAGCGATTTTATTTTAAGCAAAACGATGTTTTTTGAATAAAAGACACTGTTTCTGAATACGTCTGCGGGTCAGTAATGTCAGCAATGCGCATCTCGTAACTCTATGTTATTAAGCTAGCACTCTGTCTGTTTTAGCGGAGGAAGATGTGTGCGATTATTTACCTATCACTTGCAAACAGTAGCATTCAATGAACTGATCACAAATGTGTGTGAGTGTTAGATACAACCTCATAATGTGTAAATGGCTGGATGCCAACAAGGTTGATGCGTAGATTTTCCTTACTTCGACACAGTCGCACATATTGGATCAAGACATTTACAGAACTTTGTGCTACCCTCGTTTTTGCAGCAAGTGTTCGATCACGACGTCCTTTCAGCGGATGATTCAATGGGAGAGGCAGCAATAGACCTTGAACCGCTTATTTTGGCTGCGCAAATGCATCAAGGCATGTTTGAAGAGTTTGGGTGCGAACAAATAGGAAAGTGGCTGGCTACAGATGACAACGCCCTTGTGAAAGATAGCAACATCGAGGTCATCGATCGACAAATCAAACAGGATGTGCACTTGAAGCTTCAGAACGTGGAGAGGGGGCAGATCGAAGTTTCTCTTGAATGGGTTCCTCTCAGCGGGTTCTAAACTATCTCCCTCAACACTTGTGCTTACACTGCCAATTTGTTTTGGAGTCTGCCCATCAAATTACCTTATCAATCCTTTTTTGAGGGGGTTTTTTTTTTTTTTTTTTTTTTTTTTTTTTTTTTTTCTGCCTTCAATGACTGGCCTCTATCACTTCCAGCTCGACAAGCTCTCAACGTACAGACTCAACACAAAAGAACCTGGTGTAACAATTTTCGTTTTTTATTTATTTTTATTTATTTATTCATCTCATTTTACACAACTGATAAAAAGGATTTCAAATTGTTAAAAAATGAAGCAAAGCACATAAAAAGAATCCTCTCATAGGCTGGCAGATGTAATTGATGCTCATTTAGTATATCGACATTACTTGCATGCATAGGATTGACACAACTGACATGTGTAGTATATTTATTTAAGTGATTTGGATACAAAAAAAATGTGTAATTGACATATTTATGAAAGAAAAGAAAAAATTAAATTAACATGTTTTATGTGGTTGTTGATGTTATTACAATTTTGTTTTTATTTAATTTTTAATTTTTTAAATTAGAATTAAAAGAATGAATTTTGTGTATTTTGAAACACATATAAATATTTTTTATTATTGCAAATTTTAACAAAAAAAATAAATATAAAAAATTAACTAATTATGTCAAATAGGTGACAAATTGTGGTGATAATTGCAAATATTGTGGTAGCATTAACAATATATATGTATATATATATATATATATATATATATAGAATTATGATGAATTACTTGACATTTATTATAAATTATCATTACTATAACCTAAATGATTTTATTTATTTATTTACTTATTGATATCTTGGATTGTGTGGATTCCTTAATTTCAATTATGATGTGTGGTTAAAAGGTATGTTGATGCATCAACTGATTGCATGACCAAAGGTCGCTGATAGAAAGCAAAAGATCACAGCCTAATACTAATGTTTATTATAATTGCTCACACTTCCATTTAACGAATTTCTTCATGCATTTGAAAGTGTATCCCCCCCCCCCAAACAAAAAAAAATACATATATACATATTTTTTAAACTAGTGAATGGCACTAATTAGTTGACTTGTCCTGATTTTTAATGACTGGATGGTTAATACAAATGTAATTTGTAATGTCAATATTTTGTTTTTTTATACTAACTCGTATTTTACATTTCTTAACATCACATTCAAAATTAACCAGATTTTTTTTAGATTATTATTAATTCTAGCATTGTAGTGTAGATGCATAGTCTCATGATTCATTATAAAACTTAAAAACTTATCATTTTTATTATCAAACTATTGTAAGTCCACCTTCTTCTTCTTCTTATAATCCCTTCCTCAATGTCTTCCACTTTATTCTTTATACAAGATTTTGTATTAATATATTATTGTGAGTTCAACTACCTACTCAAAACCCTTATCAACTTCGTATATTTAAAGTGATTTTCAGTTGCCTAAAATCATCACAACAATATGTTGTGGAATATTATAGTAGAAGTAATACGTACCATTACACATACACCACTATCATATACGAAGAATGAAGCAAGCTCCGCACTACAGTATCGGACATACAATTATATATACGTCTATATTATACAAAACTATTGTATTCCATGCCCAACGGCCTGTTCCGAGCAGGTGGAGCCAGCTCGGTGCCAACTAGACTAAATTTGTCCACTCATTGCCAGCTCAGGAAGTTAAGTGGGGGTGGAAGAAAGTAAAAGCTATCTCTCGCGAATGAATAACTTCCACGTGTCATTTATACCTTTTACAGATCTACATGGTTTGACTGGCCGGTGTGAACAGAGCCGCCGAGAAGCGAGAGTTCGGGCTCGCGGCAGAATAGACACAAGCCCCTGCACCACGACGGCGACGACGGCAGAATCCGAAGTTAACGGTAGTCTTAACGGGGAGATTTTGGGGGGGAGGGGGGCAATGACGATTTGCTGCGTGGGATGCCAATTTCTGGGACACCGTCGGATGCATTGATCTCATCCAGGAGGCGCAATGCCCCCCGCTCGCTCACGTCGTGATTGATTACCGTTGCTGCGGCAGCCAGTTCTGAGGTGGCTTTGGAAACAACTCCGTTCACGCTTTCGCTTTGTCGGTGTGCGTCGTGGTGGATCGCTGCCGATGTGTATCCCGCTTCCTACACACTCCTGTTCATCAGTGATATTTTAACCCAGTTGCAGGGTGCAGAATTGCGAGTTGGGTTTTGTTGGGGTTCCTGAAATACACATGTGTTAGTCCTTGTCTGAACAGTCGCCGTGAGCTCCTCGAGGCCTGCCTCGCCAGCAAAGCTTGTATCAATCTCCGCATATCTGCTATAATTGGGCTCTCCTAGGTTGAATGCTCCTCTCGGTAGGATATGTGGGTTGTGAGTGTGTGAGTCAGCTTTGTCAGTTTTTTTTTGTTTTAAATTTGGAGTAGCGGTGCATTGTTTCCTCCAGCTTGGTCATTGATATGTATGGTAGAAGATCCGACAGTGGTTTTGGCTGTATCGAGAGCATACGCATGCATTGAACTGTGTCTTTTGCTTTGCCTCCATGGCTGGTCTATTGTGATTAGAGCGAGATTGTTGTGCAGTGGTAGTAGTTGTAAGAAGTTTCACAAGTTGCTGTAGAGGTTTATTGAGTCGGTGAACTATGGCACCCTTGGGGGATGAGAACGATGTTTGGTTGGGCAATGCTGACAGTGGTATGCAGGGGAAGAGCTCGGACTCCTTCTCGATTCGGGTTTCCAACAATGCGCAAGAAAACTTCAAGCGTCCTCCGACTGTCGCCGCTGGGGAGCCAGACATTGACTGGGAGGATGTGAATACCGGCTGTTGTTTCTTCCGAAGAAGATCGATTCGCCACGAGGTGTTTTCAGGCGGGCCCAATTCGGCGGGCACCCCGTTTGCGAGGCTTGGGACTGAGGATCCGGAGAGTACGAAAGTTAAATCGAAGGATCTGTTTAGGTCAAGTTCGATTGGTGCTGTGATTTTCTGTTGCTGCGCGCCGCGTGAGCGCGCCAATTACACCGTTGCAGTTCGCTCTGTGGATGCAACGAAGCAGGACAAGACCTGGACGGTGGACGTGAATGAAGAGTATTCCAAACCTCCGTACTGGAAGCGGCTCATCAGGAAGTTAAAAGCACAAGCACACGGCAGGCCAGGTGGGCATCACCACTCTCGTTGCGAATGGCTGAACTATGACCTCCAAAACTACCAGATGAACTTCGACGATGGCTGTTGGCGGGAGATTTGTGTGTCGTCTGGGCACGCCGACGAGAGTGATGGTCCTGCGGAGAGAGCGAGAGCAATGCACTCCGCGTTTCTTCAAAAGTATTGTGCGAGTCGCACACTGCGAGATAGTCAGGGCAGTCCCCGCAGTCCCATGAACTCGTGTGGAGGACTTTCTCCTTTGCCCGTGAAGATGTTATCCAAGGAAGAGTTAGAAAAATCCAAGAAAGGTTTCGTTCCCATTTGGCAAAGGCGTCAAGGGGCTCCTCCCATCAAACTCGACCTTAGACCACATCAAGTTTAGTTTTTCACTACATTTCTTGCGACATTTGTATGTTGCATCCACACTCCTTCCATATAGCCTGTCTTGTCCTACGGTAAGCAATGCGTCGACCTGGAGGACCCAGCAAGTTTCTCTAGTCGATTAGAGAACTGTCCAGTTCATAAACAACAGTCGGCAGTATATTTGTTGCTGAATGACAGCAGTGAGTCTCAATGAGTTCTCGATCAGGATAATGAAGAGTACGCACAACGAGCTGGAGACAGCTGACGAGCGGCAGTTGCGCACCAGAGTTCGCATCAGGAAAAAACCAGCGGACAGTGAATTATTGTAGCCTGTTATCACCCTCGGATTGGCGGGGTCTCCTTCACTGATACTGTATTTATATTCTCTATTGTAGGTGTTACCTACTCCGCCCGTGGGCTACTTTGTATATATATCAAGTTATTATTATTATTATTATTATTTCATTTTTTTCTTCTCTGTTTGCGTGGTGTTACTTTTTGTTCTTGTTTATCTGTAAAAATACGTAAGCGAAACTCGCTGTCAAATTTTTGTTGATTGCTCGGCCGTTTCTCGTAGATGATTTTCTTGCCCACGGTGAGGACGTGCGTTACTGCAAACTCTTTTTCTGTAATCCAACTTCCACTATGGAAAGTTTTCATCTCTCTCAGACTTAACGGAATGTCTGTCTTTTTGTAGAAATATGTTCTACTCGTAGATGATTCTTCACGTTACCCAATTTGTAAAACTTAGATTACAATTGGCTTGTAAACTAGCTCAGTGGGAGAACATAACAATTGAAAGCAATGTTAGACAATCTCTTTGTGTCCGTGCAGAAGTGACATTGTTCACCCGAAGTGCAATAGCACATTGCAATATGATCCTATTTTTGACAACTCCACTCTGGACACGTATATTTATATGACGTTGATTGTTGTACAGGAACCCACTTATTGGAAAAACAGCATCACTCAATCTATAAGCCGACCTTATTAACTGTTACCACTCTCTACTTCGCTTCAGGACGGATTCCGGAATTTGCAACACGTTCAAAGCACAAAACATGTTGTCACTTCCGTCTACCATTAAGTGCGCTAATATCACTACTGAAACCACTTCACTATACTCTGCAATATGATCTGTCGCACACACCCAAAATGTGTCACCCAATACACTGTTGCATTCAATTCAATTTGTCAACTGCATGCTTCAATTTACATCTTCTAACCACGAAAACTCTCGCAATATCTCTCATGCAGCATCCAGAAGGGCATGCCTCCAAAACATACGCAGCCAGGAGATTAGCTTGGCTCCGTGCAAGAGCTAAGAATAGTCTTTGTGGACTCATCTAATGGCGGCAACCAGGGAAAGCCGGTAAATGTACTTATATCTTCCTGTCTGGTCTATGTGTAACAAAGAAATACTCAACTCGATTGGAGAAACATGTCTATTAAACATGCATGAATACTGCCATGTGGCACGACTTTGAAGTGTTAACATTAACCCATTCGTGCAATGCTAGATATTCATAAATTTATTTGTCATCGGTAGCACAATCATGAACTAAAACTATCTTCGAGGTGATGCACCGCAACCAGCAGTGTAATTTACCGCTGTATAATTGCCGCAATCAATGGTAGCCACCTTTCTATGGGCTGCAACAGTGCAAGATTGCAACTGCGTTCATCAATCCTCAAGTTGTGAAAGATTCCCCGCAGCCACATTGACCTTTGGAGTTAGGGTTGATAAAAACAAATTCAGACCTGCACAGTGCAAGTAGATATGACGATAAGCCCAATCACCCATCCAAAACCCTAACATCATGCACAAATCACTTCTAAATGGTGTCCGTCGACGAACAATCCAAAAAAAAAAATCCTCAGGGCCGAGTGTCCACTATCAATCCACAGTTGTTGATTCCAAAATGCTTACAACGACTTTCAATGCAGAAATAATCATGAATTCTTACTTCAGTCGTTCTTCGACATAATCCATTTTGGTGCCAACAACGTGCATAAGTGCTCGCGGGTCTATCAACACTTTCACGCCTTTATCTTCTACAACCTCGTCAAACTTGCCCTTATCATCTGTAGCACGCAAAAACATGATTTAGTCGCAGCTCTTGGGTAGGGATTTGCTATTTGGATGTTCAGTCACAAGGAAATCGTCTATACCGAATTGCTACAACGTGGAAAAGACAGAGAGGATCAGGCGGCAAGGGACTTGATCACTATCATTCATTGCAGGAACTCACAGAATTTGCGGGGGCTAATTCAACTATCACAGAATTTGTACATGTACTTCTAACGATATGGCAGCGCAACAACAGGAAGTAGAAATTACAAAGACTTAGGCCACCTCAACAATCAAAAAAATTAACACTGATAGATGACCTGGCCTCTCTCGAAACAAGAACTCGTCATTAGGGTTGGACAGATCCTATTTGTAACCTCTCGACAATCAAATTACAACTAGGGCTTCATCGTGATGAAGCAACTAAATTTCTGTGTCTCGTGAGCGATCTTGGCATCGACATCTACAATTCAGAAACCTCGCTACTTTTCAATTACATAAAGCTACAACTTAAACGGTATCTGCAATAGGATGCTTCAAACAATAACCTTGTAAAATTCTTCTTTTCCCCAAATTCACCCGATTAAATAGCTCGGCTATATGCTGCTTCCACACGAAGAGACGGTACCTCTGCATCTAAACCGAAACGACAAAAAAAGGGGGGAAAAAAAAGAAAAAACGGAGCCACAAATGTACCTGCGTAATTAAGCGTGTACGTAAGTCCATTACAACCGCGCACTTTGACGCCCAAGCGTAAATACTCCTTCTGCCTATGGTCCAGCAGCTTTCGAATCCTGTTGGCCGCGGCCTCTGTGAGCGACAGCGCTTGGCGTCGCACTGCCGATGATGAGTTCGCACCCGCCTTCACAGCTGCCGCTGCTACCGCGTGCATTGCTCCGCCTCTCCTTGTGCTCTTCCTACAATCCCCCTTTCTTCTTCCTCAAAACCCAATCGCCAACATCCTCCAAACAAACAAACAAGCCCCTGCTTCTATCAACAACCCCACCCAATCCGGTTTCAACCTCTTCTTCTTCTTCTGCTAAAAAAAGAAAAAACCCAGCTCCACAGAACAGCAACTCGACAAGAAGAAATCCTCGGCGGAGTAAAGATCACGAAAACAATGCTCAAATGAATGTGTGCTTAGAAAACAAAGCAAGAGCTATCTCGTGAAACTGAAGTGCTTCCTCCCGTTTCCAGGAGCCTGGCTCAACAACAGAGCACCGGAACCTTCCACATGATACCCGGTAGGACATTACATTGATGTATGGTTTTATACCTAGGAAACAACACGGGTATCTTCTGAGCGGTGGGGGTTCAGAAAGGGCCACGTAGTTTGTCAGCTCAGCCAGTGTGATTGGCTTGTGGAGTCCACGTGGACGCCAGATGGTGTGATAAAAGCGAATCCCCCCTCGGTTCTCAAAAGTTCACTACTGTTCACGACCGTTCCCTAATTTTCTCCATCGTTCCGTATTAACCAACCATGTAGTTCTCTTCACCTATGGAAGTCAATTTGTTTCTTTATCTTTAACTTCCATGTGTTAAATGTAATGGCCAGGATTTCAAGGGGAATTTATAACCATATTGCAATCTCAAAAGAAAGATCTGAAATTAAAACAACCTCCTCAACTAATATTTTTTCATTTTTCATTTTTTTCTCATAAAATATATATATATATATATATATTTACATGCATTCAAAATCTTCCCAAGTCACAAATTTCAAAAAAAAATTATAAACAGATAGTGCTTGAAGATGTTTCATATAATCTTTGAAATATCAAAAAATAAATAAAAGAACTTAAAAAGAAAAAAGAAAGAAGAAAAGCAAAGAGTTTCAGAACATGGTTTGACAATTTTTCAAAAATGATTTACATATAAAAGTAATCTCAATATGCTGTCTTGAATTTCATGAAAAGCGTGATATAATATTTTATATATTTTGTGGATTTTACCTTTGCACAAATTATATTTCTTAATAATATGTAATTACTATTAAAATTTTGTATTTCTCTTCAAAATTTTGTATTTTTTGCAAAATAACATTAGTAAAATCAAAAAAAGGTTGGCTTGAGATTTTCATTTAAAAAAGTGAATCTGTGAAACATTTTTAAAGAGGTAAGGCTGAAGAAAAACTCCTATAAATTACCATTTTCTTACATTTTAACATTATAATACTCCACAAGAATTGTCTGAATATTAGTGTCAATATCATTACAACAGATAGTTTCTTAGGGAAAAACTACATCCTCTGTGAATGCCAAACATTTCTCCTAAAAAAAATTATTTTTTATATTCTCATAAACACGTTACATCTATTATTATACACTTCTTTTGTGCTTGTTCACCAAATATTGACAGCTCATACAATTCCACACACACAGACACACACACACACACACACATATATATATATATATATATATATTTATGTATATGTATATATATATATATATATACACTTTCAAATTTTGTAAGAAACAATCCGAAAAGAATGAAAAACTAAAATAGTAAGTATCCGCAGGGGAACATATAGGGAACGTACGGGAACAGAAGGGGAGTGGGGAACAGGGGCAGTATATCTTTCTCCATGCCCGCTGAGGTGGCGGGGGGGATGCTGCGTTGGCAGGGTAGAATACAGGAAGACCCCCCCCCCCTCTTCCCCTTTACCTTGTTCATGCTTCGCAGCACGCATGTCGGTGAGGCAACCTTTGACGCAACCAAGCGCGGGGAACTGGACCGGAATTTAACTCGAATTGTCGCAGCCCCAGAATTCGACGACGTTTGCATGGGCTCTGGATCCTCGTGTTTCCTTTTTCTAATTCAAATTACGACCGCAAGGAGGTCGTTTCCGTCATGTGACGCCGTGTTGTTGCTTTTTTCTGTTTCGTGTTGTTGTTGTTGTTGTTTTTTAGGAAGCATGTAGCCAGCGGTCGAGGTGAGATTCCTGCACAATTTTACGAGGAGGTTTCTCTGGGAGAGTAGGAATTGGCAATGGCGGAGCTACTTTCGAGGGAGATTCGGTATCTGCAGCACCCGCCGCATCAGCAGCAGCAGCATCTGAATCATTTGGGGCATGGAGGGAGTGGGCAGCGGCTGATCGAGGAATACATTGTGACGCAGCAGATAGGCTCTGGTAGCTTTGCGGTGGTGTGGAAGGGGCATCACAACCAGTACCCAGCTCGTGAAGTGGCAATTAAAGAGATTGCTACGGAGAAGTTGAACAAAAAGCTGCAGGAAAGTCTGAGGAGCGAGATTGCTATCTTGCGGAAGACTGATCACCCTAATATCATTCGCTTGCACGATATTGTCGAGGTTTGTCTGGGGCATGGGAGTGGTTTTATTTCTTCGTTTTGTTTGGCTCAGTGCAATCAGGTTTGGGGGAGAGTGGGGAAACCCTAATTCTCTCAATTGGGAAAGCAAGGTTATGCTTCTGCTATCGGCGGTTTGTTGATGTGGTCGATGGGAGTGCTTGCAGGGGCCGAACCGGATATATCTTGTGTTGGAGTATTGCGCAGGTGGTGATTTGGCCGCTTACATCCAGCGATGTGGCAAGGTTAATGAAGCCACTGCACGTAACTTCATGCGGCAGCTGGGTACGTGGTTTGTTCTTAACATCCAAACTGCTTGAGTTGAATTAGGGTAGTTGAATTTGCAGAAAGTTGGGGATAGCTCTATTTCGCGTTCAAGGATAGAAGGAAAAACCTCGGTTGAATGTTGGTTGGGTGGACCCATCTTCGGCGTTGCAGGAGATGGGTTGCGGGTGCTACGGAATAACTATTGGATTCATCGTGACCTCAAGCCGCAGGTTGGAATGACCCCGTTCGTTACTGAGCTTTTTATGCTGTCGCCTTGGTTTATCAGGATTGAATTGGAAAGTTCACGTTACTGTCGTCGCACAATATTCTTGAGATGCTTCGTGGGTGCTTTTCTTTTTTTTGTCGTTTCAGCTGTGATTCAGTTCATGTGTTGAGTTAACTGAAGGAAGGTGAACGTGCGACATGAAAATTATGTTTCATAGAGTGGTCCCTCCTGTCTAACATTATTCCTTCTTCGATTTGCAGAATCTGTTGTTATCTACAAATGATGATAATGCAGTGTTGAAGATTGCGGACTTTGGATTCGCCAGGTCTCTTATGCCGCAGGGCATGGCGGAGACCTTATGTGGCACGCCTCTGTACATGGCTCCAGAGATCCTCCAATCAAAGAAATATGACGCCAAGGTAGACGCTCTTTTCCCACAGCGTTAGTCTCTCTGCGAAAGTCTTCACGCTCTTTTCCATAAGAATTTTTGGGGTATCTCATTTGTGAATTGAAGAATTTTCTGTCACACCTTTTTCTTACTTGTTAATCATACGAGGGTATGTAAAATTTGGGATCTTTGCAGGCAGATTTATGGAGTGTGGGTGCTATTCTATTTCAGTTAGTGACTGGTCGGCCCCCTTTCAGTGGGAACAACCACGTTCAGGTGATGCCACGGCTTTTCTTGTTATGTTCAAGCTAGAAACAAATGCTAGTCTCCGGCACTGTAATCATACTCATGTTATTTGTTTGGAACCGACAAGTGCTGTATACCTTGAACTTAAGGTTTAACATTCACCCGTATTATTTCTTGCTGCTGATCAGCTCCTCCAAAATATTTTAAAGTCGCCAGAAGTGCGCTTTCCAGAGCCAATTATGGCCCAGCTACACCCTGATTGCATCGACATGTGCCGCAAATTGCTGCGTAAAGATCCAGGCATGTCCCACTCCCACTTTATTGTAGAGTGGCATGTAGTAGCCACTTAACGTTATACATATGACTCTAATTCAATTTATGCCTCTATGCATTAGTTTTGTGAATTAGACGTTCGGTAAGAGGGCTTTAAGCCTTTTAAGGTGTAATATGTGCACTTTGTTGTATCCGTTCTGTCTGAGTCTTTATATTTTATTTTACTATGCAGCGTCATAGATATAGTCGCTGATGCTTGTGGGATATTTTTCGCTATTGAGCAGTTGAACGACTAGCTTTTGAGGAGTTTTTCGCGCACTCTTTTATGGAAGAGATGAGGTGTGATTTCCCCAATTTTTATATATGTCCTTATTTTGCTTGAGCTTATTATTAATATTGATTTCCTGTTTCTCCTAGCCGCTAGATGCATGATGGACAGCGAACGTTGGTTTCAATCCTGGTTAAGAAGGAGTGTCTTTTGTGGCTTCAGACCAAAGAAAGAGGATGCTCAAGCAGGTGGGAGTCTTTCTGGAGGCACTGGTGGAAAAAGCGAAACTTCTCAGAAAGGTTGCTTCCCATTTTTACTGGACGATGAGCAACAAGGTTCTGTATATGGAAAATTGTCCAGACCGCCTTTGTTCTCGCCATTACCACCCAGCAGCTCATTCCTTCCTTTTGGAAAGAAATCAAATGCAGGTCATTCACCTCCAACTCGAACGGGCTTTCCAGTTACTAGATTTCATGACAACAGATCGAGGATCCTTAATAGTGGTGCTGAAGATAGTGCAGTTATGGGTGGTGATCACAGTTCTACCCATTCCGGTTCTTCCACTGAAGGTAGGCATCTGGAGCTGCTATTTGCCTTCAAATATTTTGCATATCACGGTTCTTTTTCTTTACTTTGTTTTTCTACATTCAAAGCTAGTGACAACCTGATCGTGGGTGCCTAAGAGGCTCTTCCTCAAACCGTTTCACTACTTGAGACACGAGAAAGTATGGGTGGGTACAAATTGACTGTAATGGAGTTCTATGGGATCATTGCTTTTTGATGAGTTTGTGAACAACGAATGGCGAACGTGTGACGATGAATTAGCTTTGAGTTTTGTGATCCATTAATTGACATTCCGAAGTGTGTAAATTAGTTCTTGTAGTAATATTTCAATATTTCAGTTAAATATCTCACGTTTTAAATTGAGTTTAGGAGGCCGTGAAGTTGCATCTTCCGTGATTTCCCGTGCTTATCAGAAAACTTCGTATTGGAGATTGAAAGGTGTTTATGTTATCCCTTGAATTTTCCAAGGGCCTTTTACAAACTACTCCTTTGTTTGTTCCCACCTTCCTCCTCAATAGGTTTACATTTATACTTTTGATCCTTTAGTTCTTTGAGCTTTAGTAACCAATTGGTCGTATAAATATGAGTCCTCGGCCTTTCATTATTCGTCTTAGCACATTCGTTTCGCTTGTGTTCCATGGTTTGCAGGTGCTTTGGGAGATTCTTTTGACACAATTGAACGGGAGTATGTTCTCGTCAAAGTCCCAATAACTTCAACAGATAACCTTGGGACGTCATTAAGCACTTCCGATGCTGGCGGAATCCAGCTTTCGGGAAAAGGAATCAGTAGTTTCCCTCACAGAGTACATAATCTAAACGTGGGCCCGACAAGTTCTGGAAGAGTTGGTAGTGGTGCCAGCTCTGGTTCGGTTTTATCACATAGCTCACAAGAATTTGAAGCTCCTTCGCAGCATCCACCTACTCGACTTTCCTCTTTACAGATATCTGCGCGGCTTATTACAGAACTTGCCGTAGATAAGGTTGATTTCTCTGTACTTATACTTTCATATTTTCAGTTATAATCAAGGACTCCAGATAAGCATCTTTTTAGTGAAATTTTACTTAATCTGCACTGGGGAGATGTCTTCTTGCGTGACTCTTTGTTTTACCTCATCCTTCCATCACTCCATCTCATCTATTCTTTCGAGGTAGTACAGTCAATTTAGATAAAACTCAGCATTTTGTCCTGATCATCAATCTTTTTTTGGCGATTGGAGCTAGTTGTTGTGAATCTTGCTCTTTTTATGCACCTTTTTAAACAACACTTATGTTTGTTATGAAGTACTAGTTTTTCTCCCCTTTGTCGACACTTTTTTTTGCATTTTGATTTTCCGGCTTTAAGTAAATGGTGGCCGCAAGAACTTTACCATTTGGTCGTTATCTGCAGATGAACGTTGGGCTGAGGGTAGAGGCATTTTCAATTCAACTTGTGTGTTTAGCAATCTGGAAGGAAGCACTTCGTGTGTGTCAAACCTGGGCTGATTCTGAACACGTCGGCAGTAGTGGAGGAAAGGGTAGTTCAGAGGATGTTGAAAGCCAGGACCGATCTATTGCAAATACTTGCTCTTTCATGGAACGGGAATTCTCTTTTGCTGTTGAGCGGGCTGAATCCTTAGCAGTGCACATCAATACTGGTGATGGTAAGTGAGCGCTTTGAGTTTGTAATCAAGGTTCTGGTTTAGAAGGTGATAGCAGCTGTCATTTGGCATATCTTTAGAGGATTTTATTCTAACAAGGGTGCTACTTTATTGATTAGTTTGAGTATAGAGTGGGACTTGGTGTAAAAGGTCAGTGTCGCTTGCTAAGGTATTTCTCCTTGTTATTGCTTCATAATCACTGGAGTTGGTCGACGGATTGCAACCTCTGCAGAAATGCCAGATGCTTTGGAGCTCATATTTCAATCAGCTCTTGCCCTTGGCAAAGAGGGAGCGGTACTTCAAATATCTCTTCCCAACTTATTATCACTTCTGTCTGCTATTGTAAAACTTGGGTCTAGGGGCTCTTAAAAAAACATTAATAGTTTTATATGACTTGTTGATGTGGTTTTCCGATTCGTGTAGAAAGATGTTTTGAAGAGTGTTACGTCATATTTTGCAAAAATTACACGTTACTTAGAATGTGTAGGAGGTGTTGAGGTATGAGGTGCGGCTTGCTTCTTCTTGAGGATTTTCTTAAGCAGCTCAGCTGTGAGACGGATGGGGTATTTCATAAATCTATTTCGAGCTGCGATGTGGTTTGCTAGCCTCATTTATCAATACGCCAATTCATCGTCCTTTGACTACAATGCCTTAGAGTTTTAGTGCGAAGTAATTGCAAGAAGATATGAACATATGCGTCACTTGTACTGTCTTGTGCGTCAGGTGGATGAGCTCATGGGGAGTATGTCTAACGCATCTTCTGCTTATGAGAAGGCTGCTGCCCTTCTTTACTTCCTTGTAGTTGAGGCTGCAACATTGCCAATTCAGCCTCCTCTACTATTGTCTGACATTGACAGGCATCGACTCCGTCGATATTACGATAACATTACTGCTCGCCATCATCAGTGTGCAGCCACTGCTCAAATCCACCACACTTTTTTGGCTGACACATGAAGACCAAAAATTCGTGAAATCTGGATTGCGTGCGGAGGAACCTGGACGATATCCTTAATCCCCGTTTAGCAACCCAGACATTTTGTGTCATTTCTTAGAAATGAAATCGGATCTTAAAGCCAAGTGCCTTTGTTAATGGCAATGTTTTGCTTACACTGAGTTCATCTACTCAATGGGAAGATGCGGAGGCACTTCAAGGAAAGTAGGGCTTCCCTTACTTGAGGAGAACCAACATTGTTGCCACTTTTAAACCTCATAAGCTGGCGACAGGAAGCAGCATTCGCCAGAGACGTGGCAGCCTATCTTTTCCAAACCTGGTGGCCCCTTGACAAGGTGAAGCCTAATGAAGGGAATCCTTTTGGGCCAACTGTTATTTTATCCAAAGGTGAGCTGTTGGTCGGAATGTCCGAGTTGTCTTAGGTTTTTGGAGTAAGCTTATTGAACTCCAGCCTACTTTTTAGAATCTAACGCAGCTGGAGGTTTGTACATATTAGATAAGGTGATTATTTCATCGAGTTGGCAACTCAACTGCACTCTGTCGTCCTTGATTGTAAACACGTTAACTGCGCCCTGGTATACATCCGTAGGATTCAGAACTGGGTTTGGATGTGATATCTTCTGAATTCCAGTTACGTATTTTAGCACATTGGGCATTATGTGATTCTGACGCTGGTCGAGGATCTCAGTGCTTAGTTCTTGGTGCCTACACCATGTGTATCAGTGGCGGACTGGAATTCTTTTTGTAAAGTAACTTTCATATTTAATCATTGCGTTCCAAATTCTTAATGATGTGCTGCATGCTCACCCAGGCCCTTTAGCCGTCGTCTTCTACGCCTGAGTAGCCAGCTCGTCTCTCGTCTTCTATGAAGTATGCCCTACTAAATCTCTTTCAAGGTCCCAACAGAACACGTCTCAGGTATTCATGAAGTTTGAGAGCATGTGTAAAGACAAAGATTGTCCATTCTTCAAATAGCCTACCCTGCGAAAAACCTTTGTTAAAGAAGACTCATTAGGTGACTATGGTGGCGCACATAAGGTATGAATGTTCATATTTTCGTCATACAACCAGCCCTCGCCAGGGACATTGCATTGTGACGAAGCCGTTGCTGATGGCTTAAACAAGCAGCGTATACATTTGGACAAAAACGAGAGATGTATATGAACAACTCTACAATGCGTCATTACTAACTCTTACAGAGAGTTTTTCTCTACGATTCGCATGCATTTATAACATGATCTCTACAATGGCAATTCCAAGCGCTCATGTAGTACTTATGCAGTACTTATGCAGCGGGAGAAAATGTTCATGCACTCAAGCTTATCGACATTTTGTTATTTTGTTTCTGCATTTTTGAAACATAACAGGATTAACCTATTTGCTATTGAAGATGGGTAGTAGATTACATTCTCCTAGAATCTATTTCAATAGTCAAGAAGAGAGAGGGTAGATAATGCAATATTTGGAAAGAGAGTGGGTTGTACAAATTTTTGGGCTTGGAAAATTACTAGTTTCTCCAAATGGTATGTTCAGTTTTCATAGTTTGGCACTTCAAATCCATATTTTTGTAAACTTCTCTAAAAATTGTGTTGGCCTTGATGGTTGTTTTTGGATGATTTATTTTGTTTTATACCAATTAATTTTATTTTTCTTTTGAAGAAAATTCCATGTTAAAAATTATATTTTTTTATTTAGTCAAATTTATTTTTAAATAGTCCAAAAACATGCACCTACTATTAGTAGCAACAAAACTTGTATATCATTAATTTAAATATTTTTTAATTTTAATTAAAAAAATAAATCAAGTTGAAAAATAAAAGAAAGCTATGGTCTTTCAATTGGAAAATAACACGTAATTTGTAGAAAAGGCTAGTGCCTCATTCTTATATTCTTTATATCATATGATACTTCTAAAATTAATAAAAGACTATTTCTATGGTTTCTAGAAGACAAAGCATATGATTATTGTCAATTGCAAAGTTTTTTTTTTTTTTTTTTTTTTTTTTTTTTTTTACTAAAATCATTTATTACATGTCTTTTGTACCAAATGAATCTAAATTATGATGGATTTTTTTTATTTTCTTGTGTTTTGTCTTAAAAAAGTAGGAATAGACAACTCAAATAGTGATTTTGTCTTAAATAGTGATTTAAATTGGAGTTAGAAAAAACTACTCTGATTTATAAATCTACAAGAAGTTACTAGAATTCTATATAGATTTATAGATAAATTCAAAATAAATAGGCAAGGAATTTTTTATAATTTGAGATGCTCATTAATTTAGAATTTTATGCATTGAAAAGATGTATAGTTAATTAGGATTCTTACTTAATATATTATGGAGCAAAATAAGATATTTAAAATAAATAGGTCTTTTAGACATGGAGTTTTCTTTTGCTAATATACAAATATCTTAACATTATCTATCTTAGTCATGTAATGGGTTTACATTTTTTTTTTTTTTTTGTTAATCAAATAATATTTAAAATAAAATAAGACTATGTTTTATCAAATTGATAAATAAATATAACTTAATTGTTAATTTCAAAAATATTTGGTTCATTTATAACTTTCAAAAAACTGTCACGGATATACTATATAAGAGACCAAACAATGAGTTGAACGGAAGAGTTTTAACAAGAAAGCTAACAAAAACTTGATTAAACCAGATGAATACAAGATCAATACTAAGAAAGGTGAGCTAGAGCTCCAAGAGATGTATTTGTTGAGATTGTCCTCTTATCAATATTAGAACTTCATCCTTCTTGATAAAGAATGGATTATCCCTCTTCTTGAAGGCATCTAAGCATTGTCGTATTACGTGAAGTCTTATTCAAGAATGCACTAGGCACTTTATTATGGAAGGTAGAATGGAAATTGCAACAATAAATTCTAATAGAATATTAAATAAATTCTAATTAAACCTTAACAATACTAAGTAAGCTTTAATTAAATTCAAAAGAATCTTTAAAAAAATTACAAAATAAATAATAAAAAATCTTAAAGAAATTCAAAATAAATCCACAATAAATCTTAAAAGAATCTCTAAAAAATCCTAAATAAATATTAAAATAATTACAAATATATTTTAAATAAATCACAATTAAGTTCTAATTTAATCTTGGTTAAAATCCTAATAGACTTCAATAAAATCCTAGGCCAAATCCTAAATCCTAAACCCTAAAAAAGATCCTAAACCAAATCCTAAAACCTAGTCCAATCCTAAATCCTAATTAATCTTTAATCAAATCTTAAGCAATTCTTAAATCATAAATCTTAAGTAAATCCTAAATCAAATCCTAAATCCTAGTCCAATCCTAAATTCTAACCAAACCTTAATCAAATCCTAAACCCTAACTCAATCCTAATCCTAAACCAAATCCTAATAAAAACTTAACCAATTCAATCTAATCTTAGTATAATATAGAACCTCAATATCTATTGATTAAATTATTGATCTTGCTTAAAATTTTATATACTTCTCAACAACTAAGTTAGCAATAAATAATTTTTTTTTGAAGATAATTGCACTTACCAAATAGAAGGAAAAACCTAAATCCACTCAAGTATTGGCCAACCTCCTATTCTAGTCTAAATATTGAACTTCTAGCACTAATATCTCATTTTGAAATCATTTAATTATTTTCAAATTTCACATATGTATAACGAATCGAGTCCATTACTCTTATATATAAATTTCACTGCAATCCAACTAGTAGATTGTTGAAGATCTTAGAAATCCTAATTGCCTTTTAAAGTCCAATTTTTAAAACCTCAATCTACTTGAAATTCAAGAACCTTCAATTCAACCATTTGATCAAGCTTAAATTTATAGCATACACTCCAAACAACTATTCATATAAGTTTGAATAGTAGATCTACTACCAAACTTACAAAATTCTCCAAAACGTAATGCCCTTTTTATTTTACAAATCCTAAAATTATCTAAAACAAATATGACTTTGCAAAGTTCTTACAAAATCATTATACACTTAAATCTCTTAAAATTAATGCCTAAAGAAATTCTATCAAGTTTGCTTTCAAATCCTACTCTCTAATTTGCAAAAGAATCCCAAGGTTGCCATAGGTGCTTGGTTTTGTACTTCAAGATCTGATTTTGACCCAAGTTGATAAGTGGTCCTCTCTAGATATCAAATTTTGTTGTTTTGAATTGATTTTTACTAAAATCAACTCTTAATTTCTTCTTACACATGATTATATCTTTTATTTTTCTTTTCTACTTTGTTTTGCCTTATTTATGGCCTTAAATAGTAAATAAAAGCTTATTTTGTAAAAAATTAGTATTTATATCTTTAGTTTTACTTTCTTTTGGACTATTGTCTATTTTCTAATATAATTTGCTATAATATTTAAAATAAGATCTTCTATAATATAATAATTTTTTCACCCCTTTCACCTATTAGTCATGTTACATCATGACAGCCTTTTTAAGATTGTAGAGTACCTTCTTCTAAACTAGTATTATTTAGAAACTTATTTTTTCTCTTTCAGGATGGCTAGATGTTAGTATGATTGAATCTCTCGAGTCTAAGTTAGATGTTATTATGAATACTTTAAATGCTTTAGGTCATAAAACTATTGAAATTGAGAAATGTTTTACAAGATTTCATAGTGATGTAAGATCTAAATCATATCAATCTATAATGAAATCACTTTTTCGAGCTTCTACATTCAAGGAGACAATAGCACCTATACTTCAACAAGAAAATTTACATATTTAATAACATAAAGAGCCTTGGATTAGTCTTCCAAAAAATTTTGATAGTATATATTTAAAGTTTTGAGGATTTATTAACCAAATTTGAGTGCTAATTTTTCTACAATCTGAGTACTATCTAAGAAAAGAGTCACGAATTGATTTAGTTAGAACCTTACTCACAACACATGCCTTATCTTGATTTGCTCATTTATTTAAGAAGAGATTTCTAAGCTTGAGTAATTTCAAAGTTTTTTTTAGAAGCATTTGCAAAGGTATTTAGAAAACATAACAAGGTCCAATCCTCAAAGATAAGAACTTGATGAAAGCAAATAAATAAGTGAAACTCTTTAAAAAAAAAATAGAAATAAAGAAGTATGTATATTAAAAAAAAAAAAAAAAACTAGAATGACTATTATCAAAAGACAAAGAAATTAGAGACTCTTGAAATTAGACTAAAAATAAAAAAAGAATTGATAAGAGTAAAGAAGGCTTTATTCTTGCATGTGTATATACTTTCTATCTAAGATTTATGTGACAACATTCTATAGGACTTCCAAAAACGTGTTGACTTTACATGGCATATATCTTAACTTGCAAGGCTATTTTTATATATGGATATCATATAGTCAGCTTATTTTGTAAGCTATTAATATATGTAGCACATGATTAGCTTGTTGATCAAATTTCTAATCTATCAATCAAGTACAAACACATGCAAGGTCAAAACAATGTTTTAAAAGCTTGTAGAGAGCTTCTATAGAAGATATTATAAAATTTATAAATTTTTATCTATTTTTATCTACTTTTACTTATTTCTACCTATTTAAATTATTTAAGTAATAGTTATAATAGATATATAGTTTTGTCATTATCTCCCTTGTTATGGACAAGTTCCTCGAGTAGCGATGATCATATGTTGGAGAACTTTAAGATGTGGCAAATTGTATTTGCAACATACTTTGATCTTTGTTTCCTTTGAAGGTAGTTAATAGATCTTTTCAGCCATCAATAATGTTCTATTCTAAGGCAAAAAGATGACCATGTTATTTGATCATTGTTGAAACATTCAT